ACTTATTATGCTTTCGTTATACACGTCTTGGAAGCAAGTAGATTCTTTGGGGTACGTGTGATTTCAACCTGTTTCAACCAGAGTAGTGCAGCCGACAAAGCGCATTTAGTGCTAGCAGATCTGCTAGTAGTATCTGTACTACTCAAACAAAAGTAAGTTGCTACTGTTACCCTCGCCTTTCAGAAAACACCATCGTCAGTTGCAGAAACCGCAAGGTTCGCGCGAACGACAGTTGTCAAGCAGTGTTGTTTGGTGGTTCATGCAGCATCGAAGGTTCCCATCGAAGTTAGCTATTCTGCAATATGATGATTACTGTTGTTATTGGTAGGTGGTGGGTCTGCTGCCGCGCGGGGTGGTGCGATTCCTTTGCTGGCATGTGCTGAAACTCGGGCTTTGGCGCTTTGTTCGCCCGAGATTGAACTTTGCTTTGCTTTCGCATCGGTTTTTTGGTCTGTTTTCTAACAAAAAAGTGATCCAGCCGGCGGCACTGTGCATAAACATGTTCAGCTCTGCATTTCGCCTCGATTTTGTCTGTGTTTTCCTGTGTGTGTGTGTGTGTGTCGCATTTCGCATCGGTTTGTGCAGTGTTTTTGCCGACTCTCGACTTTCTGCACATGCCGGCTTTGATTTGCATGTGTCTTTCAGCTCTGTGAGGGGCTTGGGGGGGGGGGTGGGGGGGGGGGGGGGGTGATGACGTCCATGCGAATGCGGCTTGTGTCTCCTTTTTCTTTGGTTGCGTTACTTCTCAAACGCTACCAGTTGCTCTGTCAACCCGTGCTTGCCGTTTCTTGTTGCTTCACTTTGGAAACGTCCACCATGCAAAAACCTCGCGTTTTCGAAGCTTTCCAGACAAACACTTCCCAAATGAGCCCAAAAATCAACATAAATCAAAGACGAAAAACATGTTATTTGCGACACTTCCGCAAAAACCTCAACAAAAAACAAGACAACAAACTATACAAGTTTAAAGTCCGATACATCGTCTTGTTTGACGAAAACCACGCAAAACACTGCGTTCTCTAGCTTTGGGCCAAAAAACCTGCCAAAAATAAACAGCATACCCCGCGCGGCGGCAGAAGCACCGCCTACCTTGTTATTGCTTTGTTTACTGTTGTTGCTCTTGTTTGTATACAGATAGGTATGTGTATGTACATGATGTATATAAATAAATAAATATATATATATATATATATATATATATATATATATATGCACACACACACATAGCAGTACTGTACCAAAAAGTACAATGTGAATAGAGCAGGAGAGGAACCAGCTGAAGAAGAAGGTCAAGCGCGCTTTGCCAACGCTCGGGGCTCAGCCACTCAACCCTAAGCCCAAGCCGTACCTGGACCCGATAAAAAAAACTCCATAGGGACTGATAGAAGGAAGTCATAATAAAGAACTCTAGAACAGCTTGGTTATAAGTAGAAAAGCAGATTCAAGCTACAACTATATCAGGAGACTTTGAAAAATGCTAATAACTAGTTCTGAACCTCCAAATACCTGACGAAGGCTGATCGCGACGTTTAACCACCTGGACCGCGATGAAAGCGGCTTCATCACGCGAGAGGACGTGCATGTCCAGCATAGTGCAGTCCAGGAGCTAAGCTTCAGCCTTAAATGGTCGTTAGTGATATATCACCAGTATGACTGATGTTCATGGTGATGATGATGACCATCATTATCATCCTCGTCATGATTGTTGCTATTCAGTACTCGTGTGTGTACTTGGCTGTAGCGGTTTACAGTTCTCATCCGCACAAGGAGCCCTGGAAACAGAGGGCCTGTCGCAAGGGCGTGTCGATTGCGCCGGTTTTTGGGCGGCTCAATTAGCTTGTCGAGATATAGCAGGGTCCCCTTCTTTTTCGAAGGCTTGGGCAACTGCCGAGATTTGAAGCGTCAACCGTCATCGTCAATAGGGGCCCCCTGCCAGTTGAGCAGCTAAATAACTTGCACAAAGTCCTGGCAGATACACACTAGGCAGAAGTTTGTTCAGTCACAGCAGAGGTGTGAGCTGCAGCGCGCCATTGGAGACATTTCGTTTCGGGAGGCGCTGATAAGAATCTAAACCCACAGCCTAAAACCCTAAATCCTGGAACCCTAAACCCCTAAAATTGAATTTAGAGTTCAAGCTCCAGGAGAAGTTTGGAATGGATGCTTTCGAGAACGATGGACCCGCATTCAACCTGAGACCCTATTTCCCAGGGCCTGGGCTTGATAGCCGCAGGCCAACTTGGAGGATCATGGGACTTTGTAACTGGGGTTATTAATCCGAAGCCCTGAACCCTAACAGTCTTCAGCAAAGATAGCTGTGTGAGGAGATCGAAAACGTTCCCATCGAGATTTTACCTTCCAAGGCAACTTGAGCTTGGAATGAAGGGTTTAGGGTTTTGGGGTTTAGAACTTAACTTGGTATTTAAGATTCTGGATTTACCATGTCAGGTGATCCTGCTTGGGGTTGATCATGTAGAGCTTCGGATGTGGCATGTATCGTTCTGTAGCTGTTCTTCGAGGATAGATACGGGTGATGTAGGGATTCTCTATGGAGTGTACTGTAGGGGCCTAAACAATTACCGATGCCATTTTGGAGCTTTCATTAGTACATGTACAGTGTAATGGGCCCTAAAACCCTCTTGCAACCATCGAGGCCCTTATACTAAGCCCTCACAGCAGCCCTTGTAGTTACCCTTAAAGGAACCCTTTAAAGGAGCCCTCTGCGAATTATGAAGGCCCCTTCATTGCCCAAGTTCAGGGGTTCAGAGTGTGTTTGGGACGGGTGTTGGATGTCTAGGGCCCGGAAACCCTAAACCCTTCACCCTAAACCCTAAGCCTTTATCCCTAATCCCTAAACCCTAAACCCTCAAACCCCTGGAGCGCCATGGTGGGGTAACACACGGCTCTGGGGTAACATTTCGGGTGCCGCGGCTCTGGAATCTTAGGGTTAAGGCCTTGCTCAGAGGGTCGGGGGGACTTCGTAAGTAGCTATTTTGTAGAGTTATGCTCACTCAGCCGAAGCTAAACTTTTGAACTTTTGGGGCCAATTTTAAAATTATATAGATAATACTATATACAAATTTTACCCGCAAGGGCTCATAAGAGTGGATGGACGGCTTATTATTTTGATAAGAGTGGAAGGACGGCTTAAAATATATTTGGTATAGTCTGAACGTGAACCGCCCACTTGTCTTCATGGCTCATTTGCAGGACAACGTAGCTGAGACTTATCAGCCATGGTGACAGACAAGCGGGCTAGTTCCGCTTGAGCGGGTTAGTTCCGCTAGAGCGGCTTAGTTCCGCTAAAGGCGGGTTAGTTCCGCCTAGAGCGGGTTAGTTCCGCTAAAGGCGGTTAGTTCCGCCTAGAGCGGGTTAGAGGCGGGTTAGTTCCGCCAGGGCGGGTTAGTTCCGCTTAATCCAGGGCGGGCTAGTTCCGCCCTGGCAAGGCTAGCTTTTCCAGGGCGGGTTAGTTCCGCCAGGGCGGGTTAGTTCCGCCAAGGAAAGTTATGCGGGCGGTGATCTGCTGGGTCTGAGGAATCCAAGCGAGGGCACCCTGGCCACGATTCTTTCGTTGGTCTGGGGATTGACGAAGACTCCAAGGACAAAGCTGAAGCTGCAGCTGCTGAGTGGCTGCGTGCCCAGGGGCAAGGCACGGAGAAGGCAGCAAAGGCCAAGAAAAAGACAATTGCAAGACAACTCACAGACAGCTATGGGACAACTCGATGACAACTCGTTAGTTGTCTGTGGGTTGTCTTCGAGTTGTCTGCGAGTTGTCTTCGAGTTGTCTGCGAGTTGTCTTCGAGTTGTCTGCGAGTTGTCTTCGAGTTGTCTACGAGTTGTCTTCGAGTTGTCTGCGAGTTGTCTTCGAGTTGTCTTGTAGTTGTCCGCCGTTTGTCCGCGCCTTAATTGCAAGACAACCCACAGACAGCTATGGGACAACTCGATGACAACTCGTTAGTTGTCTGTGGGTTGTCTTCGAGTTGTCTTCGAGTTGTCTTGTAGTTGTCCGCCGTTTGTCCGCGCCTTTTTCTAAAAGAGCAAAGATATCTGCAGATAACTCGAAGACAATTGCAAGACAACTCACAGACAGCTATGGGACAACTCTATGACAACTCGTTAGTTGTCTGCGGGTTGTCTTCGAGTTGTCTGCGAGTTGTCTTCGAGTTGTCTGCGAGTTGTCTGCGAGTTGTCTTCGAGTTGTCTTGTAGCGGGAAGGCAAAAGAGTTGCTGGGTGCTTAGTTATATCCAGCCCAGCAATTGCAGCCTGGCCTCACGAACAGTCGTTGCGGCGTTCAATTCCAGGTCTCGAAAGACAGCCTCCGTGATTGTCTCCGACATGTACTTGAAGAAGAAAGGTCATCAGAGGGACCTTATTCGCAAAGGCAAGCGAGTGTCTGCATCGAAGTTCATATCTTTGTGCCAGACTCCCAGACGAGGATTCTGCTGTGCGCGGCTGCAAGAGCTTGCTGAACTCAGGCACTTTTTGGACGTCCTGAGGTGTCCAATTCCATGCAGGGATTAGGCTCGCGCATTGCCGCGCTCATTAACATATACGACTATTACATTCAGATCAGAATTTCCGCGAATCCGTGGTCCAGGCGCCTTCCGCGCAACTTCGTGCTGATGCTGAGTCTAGCTTTGCACGGCATCGGAATGCGGCTGTGCGCCAAAAGTTCAAGCCGTGACTGAACGCACAAGGGATGCGTTTTTTTCTGCTGGCCCTTGTGCGTCGGAGACCGGTCGCCAACGCACAAGGCCTCGATTTCGTGCTGCGGGAGACAGGTCTGGCGAAAAGTTCGTTGTGCGTTCAAGGGCCGTCCTCTCTCCCGCAGCACGAAATCGAGGCCTTGTGCGTTGGCGACCGGTCTCCAACGCACAAGGGGCCCCGGCGTTCTCTGGCTTTGTTGTGCGTTCTGTCCGTGTCTTTAAACTTTTCTGCCGCATTTCCGTGTCCGGAGCTGGGCCCGAGACCGGATTCTTTGGTTTGATTGGCCTTTCCGAGCATGGCTGCTGCCGGCCAGTCGGTGGTGCTGAGCATCTTCACGGGCGCCGTGGATCCCCTGGTGCTTGCCGTGAAGAAGGAAAAGCTCAGAGCGATCGTTCTGTCCTGCCCGATGCAGAATCTGACAGAAGTTCCGGTGCCCGCGCTTCGCGCCTTCTGAAGCACATCCGTGCGAAGCCTGGCTGCAAAACGACCACGTGTGTCGACTGACTCCTGAAACAATCCGGGCAGAACCAAGGAAGATAACGGATGCAAGGCAGTGTGCAGTGGAAATCCTGGACAATGGCCTGGAACAGGGACTGGACAAGACTGCTCAGGAGGTCACGCTGAAGCTGCTGTGGAAGCAGGACAAGGATGTGCCGTATGCGACCGCATCCCGCTGGGTGTTTCGATGCCTTGCTGACTACTCAGGCGGAAGCAGTTTGCACTGGGACTTAGAGCCTGAGCCGACGGGCCTGGGCGGTTCTCAACCCGGTGCGCAGGTTGGGCCGATACCCTCGCCAAGTGAAGCAAAAGCTCCTGACATCCAATCGCATCTCGTTCGACAGGTGAAATTGTTGCAAAGGCAACCACTTGAAGGGTACCAAGGCGGTGGCAAACTTGGTGAAGGAAGTTTCGGCCTTGTTGTGAGAGCGAAACGAGCAACCGATAATGATGATGTTGCCATCAAGCTCTTGAAAGACGATTTGGAAGCTTTTCAGGAGGTGGTTTTCGCCACCCAGCTTCAAGATCATCCCAACATCGTGCAGCTTCTGGATGCTGGCATTTGGATGGACAAATCGGCCACTGTGTGGGAACTGGCCTGCAGTTCCGTCCATATGGAGATCGAAAAAACAGGACAACTCCAAAGCAACGTCCTTGATTCGGTGGCTTCTTGTGTCACCCAGGGGTTGGCTTTCATGCATTGTTTAGACATTGCCCACCGAGACTTGTCGACCAATAATTTGTTGCTTTTTCCTGAGGGTGTGGCCAAAATTGGAGATTTGGGCGGCTGCGCATGCTTGCGGCCAGGCATGACATCTGGTCTACGGACTTTCGGCCAATGCACGACTTTGCCTTAAATCTTGTTTGGGGATGCCTGGCACGTCCGTGTGGATATTTGGGCTTTCGGATGCTGCTTCATGGAGATGTACAAGGGCAGTAAGTTCTTTGCTGTGACCAGCAAATTGGAGCTGCAGTTCCACATCTTGCGCCTTCTCGGTAGCAAGGACATTGCGATCAGTCTGACATGAAATGTATAATAATATCTTTTGGTTTTCTGGCCTGCATCCAGTTTGACTAGAGTTTTCTGATTCCAGGACACAGGTCTGGATCATCTGCCGCAGTGGCCGAGCCGTCCCGCCAAAACCAAGCGGCCCGCCGATCCCTTTGGCTGCGATGGCGAAATGCTGAGTCTTGTCCAGGCATGCATAGCATATCCTTCCAGCCGCCTCGCGAGCGGAACCGCGCTCAATGACCATCCTTACTTCCGAGAAAAGAGCTGTCTGCTTTGAATATAATATTATGCCGTCCATCCACTTGTTTAAAACTGAATGAGCCAAACCAACATAATATCTATAAGTACGGGATGTCGGGTCACCATTCAATCGTACTTTCTTCTTGACTCCGGGCTTGCCCTTGGCTCTACATGGACTATTCAGGTCAAGGTTCTTGGGTCTTACCATGGGTGTGAAAGGTTCGGCTGGGGAGTATACTCAAAATTCTTGGGTTTATAAATTAGATATGGCCGTCCATCCACAATATTATATGCATGATTGTGATTATATATGTATTTCTGGTTAAAAAGTTTAAACTTTTCTTGTGTGAAAAACCAGCTGAGTGAGTATGAGTACCAGAACCTCAATCAGGGTCCCTATTAAGGTACCTGTAACTCTATATAACAGCTATACTTACTAAGTCCCCCGACCCTTCAAGCAGGGTCCCGAAGCCGCGAAACCGGTGTTTGCAAACCTGCAGTCTAGAACGATTTAGGATTTTAGGGTTAGTTTAGGGTATAAATCCTTTCAAAGCGTTTCAGGATCTTGCGAATTTTAAACCCTAAACCCCAAGCCTGAGAGTCACTTGGCTTCAGCCGGTCTTATATCCCTAAACCCGTAGTCCTAACCGCCTAACCCCGATCATATGGGAGTTTCCGAAAACTAGGTACCTTATTTTGGGGTCCCTTATAATAAGGATCCTACTATTTAGGGTACTATATTAGGGTCCCCTATTTTCGGAAACTCCCATATAAGCCTAAACCCTAAACTCTACACCGATCATATGCAAAAAGAGATGAGGTCCTGGATAATGTATCTATAGACAATATGGTGGACCTTTTCGAGATGCTGGATGTGGATCCTCGGCTGCTTACTTGGAGGGTCGGGGGACTTAGTAAGTAGTTGTTTTATAGAGTTATAAGTACCATAACCCCAATTACGGTCCCCATTAAGGTACCTACAAGTTTATATGCTGCTTAATGTCTTTTTGGGTGGTTGTCAATATTACGGTCCCTTTTTGGGTACCCTACATATGAGGTGCCGTATTATAATAGGGACCCAAAAAGGGACCCTAATATTGACAACCACCCATATGTAATATAGGGGCTTAAGCAGTTACCAATAGACTTGTTTTTGATGGTTCCTTTCTATACCTATAGTATAAACGCTAAATCCTAAACCCTAAACCCCTAAATAGTCTGCTCAAAACCCGACTCCAATTATTCAGGCCCCTCTGGTACCATAACCTCGAGCCCTAAACCCCACACCGCCAAGATCTCTTCACCTTGGAACAAGAAGGCGTATACAGTAGAAGCCCGAAAGTTGGAAGTCCAGTACCAGTAGCCTTAATCCTTACGAGTCATGTATGGGGAATCCCAGCACTAATTGTCCTTAATCCGGCTTCCAGTTTTTGGGGTTGACTATAGGGAGGGTTTAGAGGTTAGACCGCATGACGGTTTCAGGTATCCTGTGTTCGTGTGTTTCAGGGTAGGGGCCAGGCTCCTGGTCTGCAGAGGCAGTCGTGGAATATTTCAGTTCTGGGAAACAGAGGGGCGTGGAAGTATGCCTCCGAGTGGCATGAACATGGCTCTGGCCAAGATGAAGCTTCACTTAAGAAGCTCCTATCGGCTTTTCGGTTGTAATGTCGTCTTAAAAATTAAACTGTCCGAAGGAGCCCATTCTTGCCTAACTACAGCACCGACGCATCATGTACAGTGCCGGAGTATGGCGGCACCACAAACGAACAGGTACGTCGCGAACCAGAGCCCACTCCGCACATGCATAAACCTCACTGCAAGAGTCAGCTGGCAGGTGGGAGGCTCAGGTCTGGAGTCGGAGTTTGGTCTGTGTGCATCTTACGTGTACTCCTAGGTTCAGGTCTCGATCGGTACCTACAATCCAAGTATATAATACAGGTGAGTAGGGTTAGAGAATGACTATTGGTGCACGTGTAGTTTTAATCAGGTTTTAAGCCTAAACCCTAAACCCGAAACCCTAAGCCCTAAACCCGAAACCGTGGCATTTATGCACCCTGAACCTCCATGCGCTGCTTGGTAAACTCCCAGCCCTGCTTGACATAGAAGACCAAGCAATTGCAAATGCTATTCCGTAGAGCTTCTCGGTGTAGCTACAGAATAATTCAATCATGAAGGTCTCTATGCTAAATAAACTTCAATGGGACCCCAAGCCAAAGACCTCTTCCAATCTTGAGGATTCCCTTAAGTCGGGTTTAAGGTTTAGGGTGAAACCTAATGCCCTAAACCCTAGACCCTAAACCCAAAGCCTCAGGAAGGCAACGGCAGGCTAGAGATGGACCAGTTCATCGGAGGCTTGCTGAATTTAGCCACTGGGCAGAGAGGGTGGGCTAGGGCCTAAGGTCTAGCGTTTGGGGTTTGGAATAGAGCTCTTTTTTCATGGATCCCTTCGAAAGCTGAAAGCTCCTCTATGTTAGGTTTGTTGTCAATGTTTAATATGCGGCTGGGGTACATTATAGCGGCACTGTGAAGCCTTTAAAAGAACAGTGGTCGAACTTGTTGAGGCCTTTTTTTTCGGGCTATGTTTGCTGTCTAGGGCGCAGGGGTCTTAAGAATCAGAAGAAGGTCACCCTGCACCGAAACCCTCAGCTGAAACCTGAGTTGACTGTCGGGTCGACATGCGGTTCGGGGTTGTGGGCTTCAGGTGTTCTTGTAGCTGTTATTCTTAGTACTTTTATTGCCATCCAACCTATCGTGACAGCTAAGGGGTTAGAACAGCATTTACGGCCCAAGCTCCATCGCACCTAAACCCTAAACCCCTTATAGTAGCCCCTATAGATTACCTTAAAGGAACCCTATACATCCCTAAAACCCCGTGAGCAGTCTACCACAACCGTAGGCCATGCACCTAGCCAGGAACTCTTCTCTTCTGAGGCTTTATAAGCTTAAACCCTAAACCGTAAGCTGCCCTAAACCCTAAACCCTAAACTGCCCTACTTCCTACAAGGGTTCGGTGTTTACGGTTCAGGCTTTAGGGTTTAGGGTTTCCGTACCGACGTCAACCCTGCGGCCCTGAGATCCTGAAGCCGACCCAAAGCCCTAAACCCCTGATGCACTTGGAGGAACACGGGACTTAGTAACTGGGGTCCTTAAGGGGTCCCTTCAAGGGAATCTACAGGGGTACCATAAAGGTTTAGGGTTTAGGGTCTACTTAAAGGATCATGGGACTTAGTAACTGGGGTTATTATTAGGGTAACTACACTCATAATTGCTTATAACCCCAATTAAGGTACTTACAACCATACTTACTAAGTCCCATGATCCTTTAAGTAGGGACAAGGGGTTCAGAAGTCAGTCAAGGATATAACATACATCAAGACCCGAGTCTAGGCGACAGGGCCCCTACACTACAGCCTCCAACCACACGAGCCTTTATGCTCTCAGGGTCAGGGGCCTTTTTGTTGGATCTGTCTGTTTTTCTTGTAAAAATTCAGGGTTCAGGAGAACGGTTAAGGGAACCCTAAACCCTAAACACCCTCAAGCCCCAAACCCTAAAACAATCTCAAGCAGCGGCGTCCTTCCGAGGTTCTCTTGGATGTTCCTCTGTGGAGCATCCAGCCCCCTGGAGCTAAACACAGCTAAACACAACAGAGTAGTATCCCTTAGAAGCGGGGTTTAGGGTATGGTTTAGGGTTTAGGGTTTAGTATATATATGGTTTAGGTTAGAAGCTGCCCCCACCCTGTAAGAGTGACTATACGGATTATATTAGGGCCCTATTAGATTCCTATTATACCACTATTACAGGGTGGGAGGCCCCTTCTAAAGTATCCCCTTGTAGTCCCTATATACATAAAGAATGCACTCAATAACTGGGTTTTTTGTTAAGGAATTGAAAGTAGGTTACCATACGAGGGATGTATAGTAATCCTAATTCTGATAATTAAATTTAATTTAGCCCCTCAACAAGAGCCTAGATAACCCAAACCCTGAACCCTGTTCCCTATTCCCCAAACTCTAAACGAAACCCTAAACCCTGTTGGGGGCACAATAATCCATTGATAATCCCAGAGGTTAACCTGTAAGAGTGCCCAGTAAGGGTTTGATTACACACTTCCTTAGGGTTTAGAGAAGGAAGTTGCTGAGGCGGGCGGGGGGGGGGGGGGGGGGGTTAACCGCTAAACCACATACCCTAAACCGTGGGGAAGGAGCATGTTAGAGGAGAGCGGTGACGAATCTGAGACTTCTTGGCTCTTAACTCAAGTTCTCAACTTTTGGGGTTCTTATAAGGTAGTCGATTCTGAAAGTTTCAACTGTTATTTCGTTGGGTTTTGGGCCAGCGAGTAGCAAACAACATAACCTTTAGCAGCTTCCAAGTCACTTGCGCGGGTGTCTTTCTTCCATCTGCTACGTATGTGGGTGGTTCTCTAAATCAGGGTCCACTGTAGGGCGGGCCTCTTTTTATAAGCTTGCTTGAAGGGACCTAAAAGGGGCGCTAACTAGGGAACCATCCATGTCGGCATTTAACTTGCATGCATGCATGCATGCATGCACGCATGTAGGTATTCAAATGTGTATGTATGTAAAAGCAGACACGCGTGCATGCATGCACGCATGCCTGTATCCAGGATGCATGTAAAACAGTCGTGGCTCGTATCGGCGTCGAGCCTCACTAAACCCGCATATAAAACGAGAACCTGGGTCCCAGGGTTGTGCTTTCGAGTGCTAGGTCCGCTAGGCTGTAGCGCATCCTTCCAAGCTTCAAGGATCTCAACCACGGTTTAGGGTTTTAGGGTTTAGGGTTTAGGGTTTCGAAGCTTGGAGCGTGTGCTGTGAGTTCGCATCCCAGGTCCCAGCGAATGTTGGGAAGCATCCGCACGACCGTGACAAGTCTTGACAGAGACATCGCGGAGATTCGCTGCTGGGCTCGAAAAGTCAGCGTTATTGCCGGTCTTCAGTCCTATACACTGACTATATACGCGAAAGACTAGGTCCTAAGGCTCTGTGCACGCCAAAACTTGGGCTGCAAGGCCTAAAACCCACGAGTTCTGGATCACTGAATCTCGCGAACCCCAACTCCGTACACATCCTAAAGCCAACATCTCTATATAACCTTCTCCGAGAATCCTATACACAGAAGCTTTCCGTTTTCAATCTTACGTTTACCTGTAGCCGAAGCAACCCAGCTACTTAGGGTTCCCTATCATGGTTTGTATTTACAACTCCGTAAGCCCTAAACCCTAATCCCTAAACCCTAAACCCTAAACCGTGGCAGGTTGTTAGGGCCATCGCATTTTCCATTAACCCGAGGCTTCTACGTATCCTGTGCCGAGAGTTTCGCCGAGGTAGCATTTTGAAAATGATGGGTTCCCTTGGGCCGAGGCGGTTTAAGGGGCTGAGGGTCTTGATGGATTAGGATTTCAGGATAGAGTTTAGGGAAGGCTGGCCAGGGAGTATACAAAGACATTCTATACTCCGATGCCATGGATGCTGGAGGGTCTAAACTGCCTCAGGATTTACCGTTTAGGGCTGAGGGATTTATAGTTGAATGCCTACCTGAACCACCAACAAATCTGAGTTATCCTTATGGTGATTTCCTTATGCAAGTCCTAAGAGGCTAGGTTCTTTGGGGTCCAGGAACTGTTTTTCGTTGAGCCTCAGATGCAGAGCCGTGCAGCACACCTTTGAAAGTTCAAACTGTAAACCTGGCCCTAAACCCTAAGCCCTGAATCCCTACTATAAGCCATGTCGCCAAATTCAGTTGGGCTCGAGTCTGAGGTCAAGGATCTTAGGTCAAAGCCACAGCGTCGACCCTAAAGCACCCCAAGCCCTTGAAGGACGTATATGAGGAAATCCGAATCTGGAACCCGAAAACGGTATGGTATTCAGGGTTGAGGTAAACTTAGATACCCTCTGTGTTGTGTAGCCTCTCACCGTAGCGAAGACCGAAACACCGTGAACGCAAAGGAAACCAAGACCTCCGCCAGGCCTAAAGCCCTGAACTGCTGTTGAACACGCCCCCCCAACACCTACCTACTGTTGATGATAAAAATCCTGCATTACCTCAATGGCCCTTAATAATGGGGAATTACAGTACATTCCTTATTATGGGTAATGCAGGATTTATATCATCAACCGTATGGCATCCATTGCAGTTCCTTTTTTGATTAACCACTGTATATTGACGATCCTGTAAGGTAACCCCAAAGCGGAACTACAATGGAGACTGCATGTAATGTTTAGGAAGTTTAGGATATAGGGAACCCAAAAAGCCCTGTACCCGAAACCCCAAACCGCACTTTAGCTCCTAACCACGCCCAGGTTGCAAGCTAAATCGGCTGACCGGCAGCCTGAACGATGGTGCCCTCGGGAAGGATGACTCTGTCTGATCTCGAGGCAGGTGTTGCGGTCGGGGTCTTCTTGCCGAAGCCTCGAGAATTCAGAGTTTAGGTTGTTTGGGACCTAGCCAGGACCTCAGGACCTCAACTTAGGAGCCTTTATTTCAAGCACCTATACAGTTCTGGGGGCTCCTTATCATAATTATAGTATAATATGCCCCAAGACCTAACTGTGTTTGACGTGGTTTCCCTCGGGTTCGTAGCACAAGGTCTAAGAAGCTAACTTTCGGAAGGGATCCTAAGTGCATTCATGCAGTTAGCGGGAGGTTGGTGCTCGAACAGTCGAAACATCAACCATCTGCTATAGTAATGATCATAGTAGTACCGTAGTAATAGTGAAAAGTATCAACAAACATTACTAATAGTCGGAATGATAGGAAACCAACAATACTCATAGAAACAACAACACCCTAGCTTCAGAGCCTCAACTAATCTCGCCTTCTTCCTGGTGCATATGAAATGATATGTATCAGACGGCAGCACCTCCTTGCCAGAAAGACTGCGCCACTTCGCTATGGCCTTAATACCTAAACCCTAAACCCTAGATACTTTCAGAGTACAAAAACACCCAAAGACCCAGAAAATGCACCAAAACTCCGGAATCAGAACCGTAAACCCTGATCCCTAAATCTCTAGACCCTTGACCCCAAGTCCTAATACAGGGGCCTAAATAATTACCAATCCTATTGGGGGTTTCCTCAATACAGTTATAGTATAATGGGCCCCGAAATCCTGTTCTAATTATTAAAGGCCCCTATATAAGTCGCCCCTTACTTTCAGCTTGCGAGGTGCATTGCCATGGCCCAATGTGCTACCGCCTGCGGATCGAGTCGTGAGCTGACAGGCGATACGACCTTTCAGCAGTTCTGATCGACCACTAGGCATCGAGGGTCCAAAGAAGCCAGAACGTTCCATGGTTTAGGGTTTAAGGTTTAGGGGTTTTAGGGGTTCTGCGGGTCAGGGGTTTAGGGTTTAGGGCGGGTTATTGGTTTAGGGTTTAGGGCACTATGGGTTTATTGTCCTGTCTTGGGATGTAGGGTTCAGTAGATGATAAGCACACGGTCGCGAAAAAGCCGACGCATGGGAGCTGGCAACCACGGATACACGGGTCTGTGGATTGGGGACTACACAGGTACCCAGACGGTTTAGGGGTTTAGGGTTTAGGGTTTCCAATATCTTCTAAATTAATCTATCTACTCCGTCACTTATAGTAGGATCCAAAAATGCTTTAAGGTATAACCCTAAACCCTGAAGAATATTGGAAGCTCTAGGTCCCTAGGTAGTTACACTCTATCGCAACATGCAGCTCTGTCGCCTCAACTACAGGTGTTTTGGACGGTCCAAACAACCTAAGCTCAGGGCATTTAGGACCTTTCTGAACTCTAAACAACCTACCTTTCCGATTTCCTAACTTCCTTATTATGTACGTATAGGTTTTCGGGGGGTCCGGGTAGGGTTCCTTGGAGTTTGAGTTCAGCCGGAAGCCGCCACGACTGCACGCCTTCCTCCGGGTGTAGGCTTGTTTGAACCCTACCTGGACCCCCAAAAGTTATAGTTTGAGAGTTTATTATTATGATTTGTCTTTGTAAAAGGTAGGTTTTATAGGGTCCAGGTAAGCCCTAAGCCGTAAACCAGAAGGCGTTTTGGTTGACGGTATTGAGACTTAGTATTTCCGGAGTTTCAACTTGCGGAGCTGCGAAGGGCATCGCAGAGTCACAATCCGTAACTAAATTTAACCACCATGGAACCCTAGATACGCTCTCTTCTAAGTGGACTCTGACCTGTAATGTATCCCTCTTTTTTAGGCTTCAATCTTCAAGGACGGCTGAAACTCCCATGCCCGGTGCGCGACTTCCTTTGCATTGCGGCCGTTCTGAAGACTGCACGGGGGTCACCATCAAAGGGCAAAAGCCCAAGTCGAAGACTTCCCCTGTACCGCTTGATACTACTACCACTACTACTACTACTACTACTACTACTACTACTACTACTACTACTACTACTACTACGACTACTACTACTACTACTACTACTACTACTACTACTACTACTACTACTACTACTACTACTACTACTACTACTCCTACTCCTACTCCTACTCCTACTCCTACTCCTACTCCTACTCCTACTACTACTACAACTACTACTACTTCTTCTGCTATTGCTGGAGCTGTGATCCGGCTGAACTATGGTTGTTAGTCGCGTTGCACTTGTTCTTGCTTTCACATCAGGTACCCCATAGCAGCCCCAAGCCCTAAACCCCTAAACTAAACCCCTAAACCCCTAAACCCTAAACCCCTAAACCCTCCCAAGTAGTGTCGACCCGCATAGTTCAAGCTTTCGGAAACCTGGGTTGGTGTTTAACTCTATCCCCCATGCCCTGAACCCCAGTGGTTGTCAAAATTAGGATTCCTTTCGGGGGTCCCTATTATAGTACGGCACCTAATATTTAGGGAACCCCAAAAGGGACCATAGTTTTGACAACCACCAAACTCTATCCCCATACCCTGAACCCCACATCTAGTACCGTGGTTTAGGGTTTAGGGCTATCTCCCATGGTTGCTATGCGTGAAGCATGAGAGAGGTTTGGCTAAGGAGGGTCATCTTGTGGCAGTCGCTGCGTCAAAGAAAGGTGCGCCTTCTTGTGGATCTAATGGCAATGCTACTCAACCCTACACCCTACATCCCAGACCCCTCTTCAAGCCACACACCCTCAAGCAGCTAAAGCTGTTCTGAAAATGAGTACTTAAGACTGTCTCAAAACCTCAGCCCTAGTTGCCCCTTACACGCCAGCACTCCATAGAACAGTCCTCGCTGAGGGTTTCGGGTTTGAGGTTGGAGGGTTTGGCCTCGGAGTCCAGCACACGGAACGGCCGCAACCATCAAACAGAATGACAAGATCCGCCCTCAATAGTCTGTTCTCAATGCAAAGAGCGCTTAGGCTTAGAGTCTAGACCCTTGGGATGGAGGTTGTTGAGGGGTTTGGGAGTGGCAGGGGTTCCTTATTACAAGTATAGTATACCATAGCCAACCCCAAAAACCCGAGTCCTAGGTCAGCTTGGCATGTTGCTTGTGTTCCCAGGTTTACGGATTCAGTGATTGCCTAAGCCCCAAACCCTTAAACTTGAGGGTGAGGAGTGATGAAGCAGATCTTGTACCGAGCCAGCACTAAGAGGTGATACAGCCGCACCTGGCATTCTTTGGGTTCTCGTTAAGGAATTTGATTAGGAGGCCATAGTAAATAGTATGGTTTCCTTACTACGGTAACTTCAACTAAATCCCATAACAAGAACCCAGTTCCAGCATTTGCTTTTGCACATGTGCACGCCTGCCTGGCTTTCAAAGGGAAGCTATACCATGGCAAATGCCCGGATTTCACCGCAGTTCAAAAGAAGCCCTGCTTGTAATCTACATTGTTGGTCCTTTTCAGGTTCAACCAGTGTTGTAGTTAGGATCGTACCAGGTAACCCAGACAAGGGACTACAATGGAGACTATAGGCCTTGAAACCTTCAATGTAGCTGTTGTTTGTTCGTCTTTCTTGCTTATTTGCAGTTCGATGAAGGCGCAGGTACACTCAAACCCTCTCGGAGGCTCATGGGTAGTTACAGGTAGGGTTATAAGTCCCCTAACATGGGTTATAAGTATAGTTACCTTACTTATAACCCTACTTATAACCCTACTTATAACTACCCCATAAGTAGGGTTATAAGTAAGGTAACTATACTTATAACCCATGTTAGGGGACTTATAACCCTACTTACAACTACCCCTGGACCTCCCAGCTCAGCCCTACGCCCTGCTACCCGGCGTCTGTCGGCTCTGAGGGTCTTGGGGTTTCGAGTGCTTCGGGCTCAGAGGGCCCAAAACTAAACCCATACTAAAAACCCTAAACCCTAAAACCCTAAACCGAGTGAGAAAGGGCCATTACACTTTAAAAAAAAAAAAACCTAAACCCTCAATGCTTGCTTGCCAGTGTCGAGTTCTTTTGAGGGCTGAAACGCCGAAAAAGGTGCCAGAAATGTTCGATGCAGACTCTGTGCTCGTTCTTTGCTGCCACAAGCTTCAGAAGCATCACATCCGCAACCTCTTGGGCATTCTAAAGGTCCCCAAAAAGTATTCTGGGTTCGTGGTCTTCGGTTCGCGGTTTCGGTATAGAGACAGCGCAGAAACGGTGATGGATGCGGTTTTATGGATGATGCCTGAGCCTACCACCTTTGTTCATCCGGAAGCCTAAACTCCTACTCTGACAATTAACTACTATTTGCTTAAGAACCCCCCAAAAAATAAAAAATATATTGCTTATGGGGGTAATATAGGGATTATCATTTTTTTTTGGGTGGGTTCTTAAGCAAATAGTAGTTAACATCAATCCTACAGAGCTGTGCGCGTCGCCCGCGCCAAAGACCCGTGAAGACCCGAAACCCCGAATGACGGCTACTCCGACTCACAGTTGGACGCTAAAGGCATCAATGTCTTGCAGCTACGTATACTAGCAACTAGCGCTGAGAAACTAGCCCAAGCTCTTAGTCCTGCTAGGGTTTAGAGCTTTAGGGTTTGGTATTCGATCTGAGTTTCACCCTCAACGCCATCTGGAAGTTTCCGAGAATTGGTGGTACCTTATTTTGGGGTCCTTGAAATCAGGATCCTACTATTTAGGCCTGCTATATTATAGGGTCCTGTATTGTCGGAAGCTCCCATCTTCTCAGCATGGCGACCCAATCTTTCCTGGATCCAAGCATCTGGGAGTCCGGGTTCTCCTTCGAAAGTGCGCTCAAGGAGGCGAAGTGCCCCCCTAATCCCTAAACCCCTAATCCCTAAATCCCAAACCCCTAATCCCTAAACCCCTAAACCCTAAATCCTAAACCCCTAATCCCTAAACCCCTAATCCCCAAATCCTAAACCCCTAATCCCTAAACCCCTAATCCCTAAATCCTAAACCCCTAATCCCTAAACCCCTAAACCCTAAACCCCGAAACCCCCTAAACCCTTAACTGCTCCACATCACGTGGTTTGCTTTGTGATTTGTGGGTGAAAGAAAGTTGGTGGTGTAGTGGTAAGCTAGACGATTGACACTGCTGCCGTTGAGCACCACCGTCCAAGACAGGTGTGAGGATGATGATGTTAAACATGACGAAGATGGTGATGCTGGTGACGGTTACTGTAATTGTACACATTGCCATCAGCATCATCATCATCATCGTCATCGCCGTTGCAATCATTATGAGCATTGTGCATCCAAGCTGCGCACGCACGCACACGAAAAACACACACACACACACACACACACACACACCTCTACCTCGCAAAAACCTTGAACCAAAGCCCAAGCCCGAAACTAAAAGACCCAAAACAACGGCGAAACCCACTAAATCCCAGGATCAAAGCAACACACAAACAAGGCTGAACAAACTACCACAACAAATTTGAGAAAGTACCACGAAGCCAGGTCCAGGAACTCCAGAAGGAGTCGCTGGCGAGCATCCACCTGCTGGCGGGCCAGCACCAGCAGTGGCAGAAGAAGGTGGCTTGTACCCTAAGCTGGCTCTTCTTCGGATACTGTGCATTGTGCATGCTTTTGTATGTTTTTAGATCGATCTTAGTGCTGTTCTAGTATGTCGTGGTATGTTTTTGCAGATTCTAGATTATTTGGGTTGTTTGGTTCGCGGAAGGGATTTGGGTTTGTCAGTGCTAGGTCCTCGGTCTTGTCGGATTTTCCTGCTAAGGGCCCGAGTAGGTCAATCCTGCCATGAATTTCCCAGACCTTCCAAAATCATTTAATTATGGAAATACCTTAAGTTATAAGAGGACTCCGATCCGTGGGCATCATCCAACGACCAAGTTGTTGTACATGAACGAACCACTTTAGACGTGGGGGGAAATATACAGAAGAAAGGCATATATTACTGTTGAATATGTTCATAGATAATTAATGTGTATGTATATACATATGGTATTATATAGGTTATATGTCGTGTTTAACTGAAGACATGGATATTAGATAGAGGTATCTACATGGACCCTTAGGGTGTGGTGCAATGCCGTTGCCTTCCACTACTCAGGTGGATGTGTTTCTGTCGCACCGTGGCTGCATTTCACAAGCTTCAGAGCCGTAGAATTCTAAATCGTGAGCTCCTAACCCTATGCCCTAAACCCCAAGCCCCAAAAACAAGTCCCAAGAGCCCATTAACCTAAAGCCTTCAAGCTGTGAGCCCTTCAAGAACCCTCGTAGCATCCTTGAAAAACCTGACCTCCCTTAAACCCGAAGCTCTTCGACAAACCCGGTTGAGGGCCTGATTTCTTGAAGGATCAGGGGACTTAGTAAGCAGGGTTATACCAAGGGCCATTTAGGGTTTAGGGTTTAGGGTTTAGGGTTTAGGGTTTAGGGTTTAGGGTTGCAGTCAGAATTAATTCCCCCCCTCCCCCCCCCCCCCCCCCCCCGAGCTACTTGATACGGTAAGCCCTACATCCGAAACCCCTAAACCCCCAAACCCTGCCCTGAAACCCTACCCCTCAGCCCTATACCCTAAGCTCTAAACGCCTACGTACTTATGTACGTGATGTACATATTATGTATGTATGTATATGTTTATGGTTTATACATATGTTTCTTCATGTATTCATTTATGTGTGGAGGAGAGCTTCAGGCAGACGGAGTTCACGGTTGACGTTTGGGGTCTCAGGTGTGCCAAGACGTCGCTTCATCCCAAGCCTGTGCCTGTGGCAGCGATCCACAACACGGTGCCTGCTCCGAACCAGCACCAGGCACAAGTTCGGGGGATTTGCGGCTTCGGGTTCAGAATTTGGGGTTGAGGTTTTAAGCTGCGGGGTGGAGTGTTCACGCTAAGCTGGCTTCGGCGGCAGCCTTGTGAACTGGCAAAAGCCGGCGAAGAAAGATCATTCTACCCGTCAGCTGTAACCCCAAGTCCTAAACCCACACCATCTCCTGTTTGCAAAAGTTCCGCACGCACGCCCCTAATTCCACATATTGCTGTCTGTCCATAGAGAATATACAAGCCTGGGTACTTAACACTACTTTCCGCAGGGCTCCTCATTATAAGTATACCACAATGTACCATAATACGGTTGATGATATAAATCCTGCATCACCTTGATGGCCCTGAATTATGGGAATTACAATATATATTCCTTATTGTGGGTAATGCAGGATTTATATCATCAACCGTATCCCCCCAAAGCCCCCTTGTCATGTTCTAAGGCCCTTCTAGTACAACGTCTATGGGACATTCTGCGAGCCCAAACGACTCGTTTGAACTTTTCTTGGTGTGGCTTAAAAGCGTTTAAACGTACAGTAGAAGCCAGAAAGTTGGAATATGATTATCGTAGCCCCTTTAAGGTAAATTATAGGGAATCCTACCATTAATCCTTATTCCAACTTTCTGGAGTTCCTGTTAGATCTTTGAATCCCAGACCTGAAACGCCAAACCCCAAGCCGAGCCCTAAACCCATGAAAGCTAAACCCCTAAGACCGAAATCCTGAACCCCGTACCCTGACCTACCAAAACCTACGGTTTAGGGTTTGGGGTTTAGGGTTTAGGGTTTGGGGTTTAGGGTTTAGGGTTTACTACCTCTTTGAAGGGTTCCTATAAATTCCATGTTACGGCTTATAATTAGAACCTATTGGTCGGTACATGGCAGTACTGCCACCCGGAAGCCCCAGGTCCATGGAACCAAAAGCCCGATCCGCTGAAGATGTGTTGGGCTTGCAGGTTTTGGCGTATAGGGTTTAGGGTTTGGGGTTTAGGGTTTGGGGTTTAGGGTTTAGGGTTTAGGGTTTGGGGCTTAGGGTTTAGGGTTTGGGGTTTGGGGTTTAGTATGGTGTGCGTATTGCTTTGCTTTCGATACAGGGATCTATAAAAGTTAGGATATGTTTCTATGCGGGTTTCGGAGTTGCGGGGTTCTGAAATGTGGGTTTCCGAAAATGGGGGACGCTAATATGGTACCCTAAATGCCCTAAATAGTAGGGTCCTTACAATAAGTTCCCCACAATAAGGTACCCTTAATTTTCGGAAACCCCCAAATCTCCGCCACGTCAGGTGGATGCGGTGAAGTTGTCGATTCCAGCACCAGGCATCCCGAACTTGATGAGAGAAGTTGCCTTGCAACCGTTTTTTGGATCCTTAAAACGCTATGCCCTAAACGCGCCTGAACCAAGATGTATCCTTGAATCCTAAACCCTCGTAAACATTGTAAGCCTCACTTACAGCAACTAGCCAAGAACCTCCCCCCAAACCCTAAACCCTAAACCCCTCAGCGTCGCTTGGAGAATGGGGGCGTCATTGCACTTAAGACGAAAACTTCAGAACCTTCAACTTAGTATATAGCTGAGTGGATACACTTTACACTTCTTGGGATAATATTACCCAATATAAAACAAAAAGTGGACACTCTTGGGGGCTTATGAACTCAGCAACTAAGTCGAGTAGGGCTCTAGCGAAAGCAGCAAACGGAGCCCACCCCTGGCCAGAAAATGGGCCGACGCCGCCGCAGACGGACGGCGTCGACAACCGCGCTTCCACACGACGCCGTGCGGCAAAATGAGGGCTTAGGATTAGGGTTTACCTGGAGGGTCATACCCTACCCCTTTTTTAGAGTACCTAGTCTTATGGTTATGATCTCCTATATAGAAGAGTAGGTACCTCAAAAAGGGGTAGGGTATGAGCCTATGGGTAAGGTTCGGGTTCAGGGTTTGAGGTTCGGATTTAGGATCTACCGCAAAACGTAGAGTTTAGAAAAGGAAACCTACTCAGAGACTAGCAGGCGTAGGGAGATCCCAAACCTTAGCCCCCAAAGCCCAAACCCTCGCCCACAAAGCCCAAGACCCTCTTTGGAGCCTTACCCTAAGGCTCAAAATGGCCCAAAAGCCTAATATAGTATGGTCTTTGGGCCCACAGCCTTAATATATGAGTCCTTAGAGCCTTAAGCCCTATAGATCCCTTAAAGGACCCCTTATAGATCCCTTTAAAGGAACCCTATATGCGTCCTTAGGGTTAGGGTGAAACCTAACAAAAATCGCAAAGGCTCGAATCGGCCGGCCCTGGCCCTCTCCGCGAGCACCATTGAGCGGTTTCAGGATTCCGCCGAGCATCTCGGTCTCAAAGCTGGTATATGGATCTATAAGGGGTCCTTTAAGGGATCTACAGGGCTTAAGGCTCTAAGGACTCATATATTAAGGCTTTGGGCCCAGGGTTTACTTGGGGTTTTGGGTTTCGAATAGGGTTTCGGGTTTTATATAGGGATCGAGGGTTCAGGGGTTCAATGTCGAGTTTTGAGATAGAAGGCATAGGTTTTGTTTTCCGTGGCTTACCTGGAGGCTCATACCATACCCCTTTTACAGGGCTCCTTCTTTTTAAGATAACAGATCCTAACCATAAAACTAGGTATCCAAAAAAAGGGGTTGGGTATGAGCCTCTAGGTAGTCGTGTAGGCCTCGACTCGGGTGTTTTGTGTTTTCGAAAGGTTTGATAGGGCATCTCAGTGGCCGAAGGATCTCAAGGGCGGGTTGACGGACACAACTTTGAAGGATCCTTAAACAAAGGGAAGAGACCACAATTCCCTCAAAAACTAAACCCTAAACCGTCTAGAGTACTTCAGGGAATGCAGGATCTTGTCCATCAGGACGACTGACAGGGTTCGAAGGCTTCGAGGTTCAGAGGCTGGCATTTGAGGGCATTACCTGGAGAACCTGGTTGATGGTTTTTTCGGCAACTGAAATTCAGTGTTCGTTTCTTAGAGTCAAATAACGCAGAATTCCGAGAATTCCGACGTTGTGACATCCGACATTGTCACATGCGTCTTTACGCAGGTATCGGATTACCACGCCGAAAGACATTGACGGTACTATTCAGCATTCCAGAAATTCGAACGCCAGAAAAGCCAGACCCTCAACCCTAAACCCTAAGCCCTAAACCTCTAAACCCTAAACCCCTAATTAAACACCTAAACCCGTAAACCCCTAAATCGCTAAACCCTCAACCCCTAGACCCGCCAGGGGCGGCCCACTGCGGAAGCTAGTGGCATCTCGGCATTGCCCGTTTGTTTGGCTTGCGATTGCCGATGACCGAACCTGTACATAGGCTGTACTACAGGGGCCTTTAGGGGGTCTAGAAAGGATCCATTATAGGGTTCCTTTTAAAGGGGTCTGGAAAAGGGGTATAAGGGCTATTATGAGGAGATAGAGGGAATTCGGTTTTAGGGTTTAGGGAGTTTAGGGCTTAGGGCTTAGAGTTTGGGGTTGAGGGTTTAGGTTTTAGGATCGAATATAGGGGCCTAAGCATTTTTGGGGTTCCTTCTTATGATTGTAGTATAAGTGGCCCCAAAACCCTGTTCTAATTATTAAGATCCCTATGTTAGCCCCAAAGCCCAGGGCTCTGCGGAGTGGACCAGGGGGATCTGTTCGCAAGTTTCCTGCCGTTCACCCCAAGCTGGGATTGTATAAATATTATCCAGGTGCCTTTAGGTTTAGTGTTGGCATGTCCTTGTTCGGTTCGGTATGGTTTTCTGTGGTCCATGGTAAAAGCATAAGAAGCAAAGAACACGCTCACAAACGACAACGCAAATTTCCTGGAAGAACGGCTGCGATAACGACGTTCAGGAATAAGCATGTTCACCCGCGGTTATTATACCACCCCACAGCTGTTCAGCCAACCTGTATAACCAAGCTATATGCCCGAACCCTAGATTCCTCAAGCTGTTTCCAACTGCTTTTGTGTTCAATCAACGCTTACATAAACTTTTCAAAGCGCTGTTTAACTTTATAGACGGCAGGTCAAGCTTCCCAGCCCAAAATTGCTGCAGAGGTAAGTTAAGTGTCCACCTCCATGAAAGTAGCATGAGACCTGAGAAGAATACATGATTGACGACTGCTCTACACACAAGGCTACTATCTGGGGTTACATGTGAGGGGTTCCGGGGTTTGGAGGGCCGGGGTTGCGGGGTTAAGAGTTCAGGTTTTTGAAGGGCTTGGGGTCGGTGTGGATGACATGCACTCCGCAGATCCCGATTAAGAGCATGGCGAGCAAATACTACATTTTCTTTCGCTCAGCAACAGGAATAAGAAGAATACCGTCACAATGTAATTGGTACTAGCAAGTAACAGCAATGACAATGATTCTCGGATAAAAAGCACTGGACACCCGCCGGTGTAAAGCAACCCCCCAGCCGCTCCCCTGCCTCCCCCGCTCATCAAAATCCGCTTGCCCTATACCTTAAACTCCAAAACCTAAACCCCTAAATCCCCAAAATCACAAAATCCCTAGACCCCTAAATCCCCAAGTGCTACCTAAAGCCCTATACCCTAGACGCTAAAGCCCTATACCCTAAAGCCCTAAACCCTAAACTCCCAAAGCCTAGACCCTAAACCCTAAAGCCCTACACCCTAAACCCTAAACCCTGCAAAAAGAATATGGGAGTTTCCGAAAACTAGGGGTACCTTACTTTGGGGTCCCTTATAATAAGGATCCTACTATTTAGGGTACTATATTAGGGTCCCCTATTTTCGGAAACTCCCATATAACCCCAAACCCTAAACCCTGAAGCCCTAAACACCACACCCGAAACTCCAAAACCCTAAAGCCCTAAAACCTAAACCTTAAACTCAAAAACCCTATACCCTCGACCCCAGGCCGAGATTCTCGAGGATCAGGCGATGAAGTCGCAAGGCGTCTCATCCTATAGGGTTTAGGGTTTAATTTTAAGGGTTCAGGGTTTAGGGTTTAAGGGTGTAGGGTTTAAGGGTTAGGGGTTTAGGGTGTAATTTCCTTACCTGGAAGTAGAGGTAGCGATTGTAAGTAGGGATTGTAGGGTTTAGGGTTTAGTGATTCTTTAAGGGCTCTATAAGGGCTCTATAGGTTTCCTTACCTGGAGGTAGTTGGAGGTTCATGGGACTTAATAAGTAACTTAAAAGGGCTCCCTTAATTTATAAGGGTTGCTTAGAGGAGTCTATAGGGTTTAGGGTTTAGGGTCTACTTGTAGGGGTGATGGGACTTAGTAAGTACAGTTATAAGTACCTTAGCTGGGGATATAACCAAACATAAATACAGTTACCTTATTTATGACCCTAGTTACTGAGCGCCATGAACCTCTCAGTAGAAGTAGCGTTTGTAAGTAGGGATTGTAGGGTTTAAGGTTTCGCGATCCTTTAAGGGATCTAAAGGGGCTCTACAAGGGTTCTATAAAGGGGGTTCATGGGTAGCTATAATAAGTAGGGTTTATAAGTGGTTTTAGCCCTTATTATTAGGAGACTTATAACCCTACTGACTTCTAGCTACCCAGGAACCTCCAAGTAAGGGTCCATGTACTCAGTTTGCATATGCCTAGGCCGTAAGCTCGTCCCTATATACGTAATTTGGGGACAGAGTATTTACACCACGAACCTGCAAGAATCGGAAACCCTAAAGCTTCTATAGAAACCTCCATACCTACTCCAGAAATCTCTACAACCCCTCACCCAAAGCATCACAACGCCAAACCTTGCACCTGCCGTAGTGTTAACACAGCTGCAACCAGACACGAAACAGTGTCCGAACCAGGCCTAAGCCCTAAAACCCTAAACCCCTAGACCCCTAAGCCCTAAGCCCTAGTCCCTACACCCCAGGTTTGGGCAGCAGCATCTGGGATCGACTCCGCAATCTGTCGGTGAAGCTGGTGAACCATCAGTGGCCCCTTGGGCGTCTGAGGATGTCTTCTTTCAGGGCACCACGGTTTAAGATTTAGGGGTTCAGGGTTTAGGGTATAAGGTTCCATTCGGTCTGGGAGGGCGTTGGAGATAGGTTCGGGATGTAGGTTTCAGTATCTTGGGGTCAAGGGCGGTTGGTTGTCATGTGGGTGGTTGTCAAAATTATGGTCCATGTTTTGGGCCCTAATATAGTACGGCACCTCATATTTAGGGCCCTAAACCCTAAACCCTAAACCCTAAACCCATGTGAATTCCGAGGGTTGTTTTTGGCAGGTCTTGGCCCGAGACTCAGTTTCGGATCTACATCTACGTGGGCCTCAGGATTTCAAGTTTACTGTTTTGGGGGCTCCTTATTAAGAACGCTGCAATAAGTTATAATGCTAGTATAACCTACCACCAAAAAACGGATTATTATCATTAAGTTTTCCAAAACTACGTAGAATAAACTATGATGCTAGTATACCATACCCTCCAAAGCCCGATTATGATTATTAAGTTTTCCAAAACTACGTATAGAAAACTATAATGCTTGTATAACATACCCCCCAAACCCCCAGTACTATTACTATAATTTATGTATTTATTATTGCTTTATTAATTGGCATTATTATTGTTATTAGTAAATAATAATACTACTAATAATAACTACTATTATGATTATTAAGTTTTCCTTGGAGGTTTCAAGGCAACTTGCCGGTTGACGGACGTAAGCGTAAACAGGGGACAGGAGGTTTCGGAAGGGGACGAGGATAAACCCCAAATTGGGAGTTGGGTACCTTGGGTACCTTATTCTGGGATCCTTTAAAGGGTTACTATAAGGGTACTACAGTAATATACGGTTTCCTTCACAGTGCTCTATAAGGGTCTAGAGTTTCCGAAAATTAGGGGTACCTTACTTTGGGGTCCTTTTGAATAAGGGTCCTATTATTTAGGGTACTACACTAGGATCATTAGGATCCCATGATTTTGGAAACTTCCAAATCCTACAGCCCAGCTTTAAGCCCTGAAACCTAAGCCCTAAACCGGAGCCAGCAGTAGCAGTGAAGCTAGAGTCTGACGCTCCTCACCGATTTATGGTTGAGGGCTCTGTCGACGTTCGTAGAAGGGATTTGTCAGGAGTTTATAACATTAAGGGATTTGATGGTTTTTGGGTTTTCGTTGATCTTGGGCTTAGTTTAGGTTTGGGTTTAGGGCTTAGAGAGCTGGCAGGGCCTTATAGGGAGCGGCTCGGCTGGAGTGCCGGCCAATGTCAGGTTTCTAAGCTGCCAGGATCGGATGGGCTTAAGCCCTAAATCCCTAAATCCCTAAATCCTAAACCCTAAATCCCTAAACCCTAAACCCTAAATCCCTAAATCCCTAAACCCTAAATCCCTAAATCCCTAAACCCTAAATCCCTAAACCCTAAACCCTAAATCCCTAAACCCTAAACCCTAAATCCCTAAACCCTAAACCCTAAATCCCTAAACCATAAACCTTAAACCCCAGGGGTAAGGCACCAGCTGAGGGCCCCTATGATCACTGGGCCCCCGGCTATTTCGCAGAAGCCTCTGTGCGGGTTTAGGGTTTAGGGGTTTAGGGGTTTAGGGTTTAGGGTTGGTTTAGGGTTTAGGGGTTTAGGGGTTTAGGGTTTAGGGTTGGTTTAGGGTTTAGGGTTGGTTTAGGGTTTAGGGTTGGTTTAGGGTTTAGGGTTGGTTTAGGGTTTAGGGTTTAGGGAGCCTCTGTGCAGGAAATACATATCGCTGCAAATATGTTTGAACAACTTCATCTCAGGCGCACAGGAGCACCAGACTCAAGCGGATAGTCAAAGAAAAGCAGATGTTTGGGCTTCAGGCTACGACCCCCAGGTGCAGAAAGTAGGCGCGCGACAACTGCGATCAATCCGGAGAACTCAAGGTCGAAGGCTTTGCGGTCTACCCCTACAACTAGTAGGCTATGTTCCTGTAGTGATTTGTAGCATTCAACCCTCAAAGCAATCGGATTTGGTATCTGCAGGTAGAGTCACGAATGGTCAGTTGTTTCGGTACCTCAACGTGATCCTAAACCCTGAAACCCTAAGCCGCACACACTTCCAAGTCGAAACCCTTAACCCCTCACTACAAATCACACCAAACTCGTTACATATCTCGATGGCGCATATTAGGACTAAAAGGGACCCTATTATACAACCCTACGGTACCAATGAAGGGAACCCTATCATAGAAGCCAATCGTACACTTATAGGAACCCTAAACCCTAAACCCCGTTGAAAAACCCTATACCTGTACTAGTACTGTACAGGAACCCTGAACCCAAAACCTTATAACAGAACCCAATATGTAGTACCCTTCTAAGAACCCTGAACCCTAAACCCTACTATAGTACCCTTACAAGAATCCTTGTACTAGTAGAACTTGTAAAAGCACCTTGAACTGAAGCCCCTCTCTGTCAGGTTCGAGCCTCTCGGCTGATGTTGCGAAGACAGAGTTTGGGATGCAGGGAGCTCGAGCTAGCTCGAGCTTTTAGGGTTTTTAGTTCAAGCTATAGGGTTTGGAGTTTACGGTGTAGGATATGTGGGTTCAGAGTTGAGGGGTGTCAGGTTTAGGGTAGGCTGATGAAACTATTTTATGGGCCTAAATAACTACCTATACTAATTTGGGGCTTCCTTCTTATGTAGAGTCATAGCATAATATGCCCCGAAATCAAAACCCTAGTCTAATTAATTATTAAGGCCCCTATCGTACTCACCCTAAACCCTGAACCCTGAACCCTAAAATCACTCCTTGTCCAGGCGCCGAAGGCTCTAGGGCCAAGATAAGGACCAGTGCAGGTGTTGAGGTCTGAATACGACAGTTTCCGAAAATGAGAGATACCTTAGGGTTCCTTTGAAGGGGGTACTATAAGGGTTCCTCATATAAAAGGGCTCCATAAGGGTCTAGAGTTTCCGAAAATGAGGGATACCTAGGGATCCTACTACGTAGGGTACTCTAATATATTCGGGTCCCCTGCTCTCGGAAACTCCCATATGGAACCAGGGTATCCGGTTGCAGTGCCGGCATAGCCCTACCATGATGTACCCCCAAAACCCACTCTCGTGGTGAATGCTTTTGGATTAAACCGTAAAACAACCGAGCAGTGCACGAAAAAGCCGCTTCCAACTGTTAATGCTCCCATATTGCTACCGCAACACTCTCAAGGCGATACGCCCAAAGAGCCGTGTGTATGATTGAGGGCTTCTGCGTAGGTTCTGGATTCGGGCACGGTGACATTTATCCGGTTGAACCTACACAACATGCGCTTGCAATCACGGCATGGGCAGACATGGCAACAGCACAACAGTACCTTACAGGCCCCTGCGTTTGCAACTCAGACAACTCGAAACCCTACACCCTAAACCCGAAACCCTAACCCCTAGACTTAAGGTATGTGACCGGCCTTATCATCCTCCTCAACATGGTCACCATTGGGCTGGAAGCGGAGATGTCAGCAATGGCGTTGGCAGGCATCATTTCACTTAAGATCTCCCCCCAGCGACCTGGCCCCCCCCCCCTTTTAGGGGTTCCTTTAAAGGGCTCTTAGGGGTTCCGTTAAGGGTTCCTTTAAGGGTTTCTTTAAGGAGTCCTTTATGGGCTCAAGCCGAAGTTTGAGAAAACACTCACCCAGCACCCCCTCAAACAACCTAAATACAACTATTAAGGACCATAAGGGCTCCATTAAAGGGCACTTGGGGGGGCGCTGGACGGTTTGAGGTTTGGATTTAGGGTTTAGGGCTTAGGGTTAGCACCGAACTTCCACGTTACCACAACCACTATAGAGCAATTTAGCCAGCGAGACTTTGGGCACGGCGTTGAAGGCAGGCGATGGTGTTTCTCCAAGCCTCATTTTAACAGATTCAGGAAGCAAGGGGAACATGTTTAAACGTTAAGATTCATTGTGGGCTGGGAATTTGAAACAAAGATCGGTTGACTGAGGGTCTATAATGATATGGACAATGGACATAGATCTCAAGATTCTACGAATGGTTCTCCTACAAAAGGATCCTTTGATGCCCTAATTTCTGAACCTCCCGCCACCCCGAAACCTAAATCCCCCCCCCATTCCTCCACCCCCCAAACCCCAGACCAGGCTCAGACGTCCGGCTTGTCGTGCATGGGTTTAGGGTTGAGGGGTTTGGGATTTTAGGGTTTAGGGTTTAGGATTCATCAGGCCCTCGAGGATGCAGGTATCTGTTATCGGCAGGGGTTCCTGTGTTTTGCTCATGGTTGTTATGAGGGTTTGTGGGGTTTCTATGGCTTTGGGCATTAGCCCTAATCCCTTCACTTTAAAAACGCTTTATTGGTGAGGGTCTACCCATGGAGGTGAACATACTTGGGAGCGAAATCCCTAAAGCTTAGTTTCTGCAGGAGTCTGAAGGCAGCGAGCTTCTGGATGTCATAAATTTACAGGATCTCTGAGGGAGGTTTTGTCAGGAGGTTGATTCAAGGGCGAAGGGCACCAGCGATGCTAGCGAACCTTGGAGACCACTCGGGAGAATAAGGGAGTATTGGGTCATATACCCCCTTGGACCCTTTTTTACGGATACCATAATACATCCTAAACCCCCTTGGACCCTGTTTTACGGATACCATCATACATCCTAAACCTGGAGCCCGTGCGACATGAGCCGCAGACGACAATGGCCTCCAGGCACTGTGAAGCCTGACGAAAGCAGCTGGATCAAAGAGGTGGAGAAGCTGGGCGAAATCCGGTTTAGGGTTTAGGGGAAATCCAGAGCGGTTTGGCTTTTGGTTTCGCGCTCTTAGGCTTTAGGGTTTAGGGTCTCTTAGGGTTCATGTCAGAAGTGGCTTTGTTTCAAAGGTTTGGGCGAGTGCCTCGGGTTCTTGGAAGTATGAGGCATGTATGCTAGGCATGCTGAGCTGGGGATGCTAGCAACGAAAGCCCTACTTCGTTTGAGTTGGGATAAGGCTCTGTTTTCTTTGATGGGGTGATGTAACTGGCGATAAGAATCTGGCACATGACATGTGGTTTTACAAGAAAGGTTGTCTAACGTCTAAGCTTACACGGATTTCGGCGGAGCTACTTGGAGATGTGCAGTGCTTGGGAGTGCTGCGAGTCAAGTGGGATGTTTAGGGTTTAGGGTTTGGGTTGTTTTCTTTCATGTTCTGAATTCTCCCAAACGCGAAAACCTCTCAGCAGCAGCCGAGATAGAATTCAATCATTGAGCTAGCACCCCGCGTAGTAACTCTTTTTCGTAACCCTTGTAGAACCCCGTCAAACGGCACTCTGAAGGGAACCCTATATTCTAAGCATTAGATTAATGGTTCCTATGTTGCTAGGCATGTTAATGGGTAGTTCTCTAAATTAGGGTCCCGGCTCGGATCCCAGAAATAGTACGGTGCCCTTCCAAAAAGGACCCTAAAGGGGACCGTGGTTCAGAGAGCTGACCTAATATTCCTGAACTCTGAGGAAGGCTTTTCTTGCGATCTACACGGTGGAGCCTCGGCTGCAACGATGGTCCCACTTGGACCTACCGTATGATGCCACGTGAAGTTTTCCCTGAACCGTCCAAGGGTAAAAGGAGGGACCCTTAATAAGGACCCCTAGGTATATACCCTTCATATAGCTATTATATACTCCTTATATAGCGCATTATAGGGTCCCAGGGGGGTCCCCATGAAGGGTCCCTCCTTTTCCCCTTTGATGAACCCCTAAACTTCTAGCCCAAAACCCCCCATCCCTGAGGCCTTGGCAGAAGCCGAAAGAAACCCCCAAACCCCCCAAAACTCTAAGCCCTAAAACCCTAAACCCCCCAAAACCCAAAACCACCCCAAACCTCAACCCCAAGCCGAAAGCAGCCCTAAATCCTAAACCCTGAACCCCAAACCATCTAAACCCTAAACCTTAAATTCTTGGACCCTAAATCCGAAAGCCCTAAACCTTAAACTAAACCTTAAATCCGAAACCCCTAAACCAGAACGGTTTGGGGCTTAGGGTTTAGGCAGAAGCCGAAAGGAGCTTTTGCTTCGCATCCTTGCCGGTGGCCGGGCTATCTTTCGAAGCTTTTGGCTCCCTGCTGCAGATTGGATTCAGGGGTTATTGGGTTCTAGGGTTTAGGGGTTAGGGATCCTTTAAAGGATACTATAAGGGTTCCTTGAAAGGGTACTACAAGGGTTCCTTTGAGGCGTCATAGGGTTCAGGGTTTTTTGGGGTTTTGGGGTTCATGGTTTAAGGGTTTGGGGTTGAAGGGTTTACTGATTCCTATCCCCCTAAACCCTAAACCCCAACCTAGACCCTGAACCCTGGTTCCTAACCCCTAAACCCTAAACCCAGCATTAACTTAGTAGCTGAGTGGATACATTTTACACTTCACGGGCTGATATTACCCACTATAGAACTTTTGGGGGCTTATGAACTCAGCAACTAAGTTGAAATCGTAACCTTGAGCCCTCGGACATGATCGGGGTGAACGTTCGGGATCTAAGTGGCTGGACGTCGAAACACCAAATCCCAAAGTTTATATGGGTGGTTGTCAAAATAGGGATCCCTTATTTTGGGGTCCGTATAATAAGGATACTACTTAGGGTACTATATTAGGGTCCCCTGTTTTCGGAAACTCCCATATACATTTAGAGTACTTAGAGAACAGGATTCGTGACGCAAGATCTTGTGAAGGACGGCCGTGGTAGTAGAGTAAGCTCTTTCCAGTGGTTTACAGCAATCTCTTTTTGACCCCAGAGGTTAACCTGTATTTGTAGTTTCCCAAACCCAGACAAGGAAGCCCTAAACCCTAAGCACTGAAGAGCTCCAAAGCCCTAAACCCATAAGCATCTACAGATACATATGCATATGTGTATATATGTATTATATATATATAATATATATATATATATATATATATATATATATACAGAGAGAGAGAGAGAGAGAGAGAGAGAGAGAGAGAACAGCGAGAGAGAGAGAGAGAGGGAGGGAGAAATATCAATAAAGGTATACACACAAACAAACAGAACAGTATGTGCGCATGGGTTTCTGTGAAAGAGCACGGACATCTTATATCATGCACATGGGTAAAAATGCATGCAGCGATTGATTTCAGTGGGTAGGTATGTACAGAGGTACAGGCCCCTCTTTATTACAATAGGGTTGCGAGCCCATTAAACTAAAATTACGGTAAGGAACCCCGAAAAATAGTATTGGTATTTATTTTAGGCCCCTACATTACAGACATGTCCCAGGTTTTTGATGGACTTTTTCCTGGTACTGGTTGGCGTTTTTGGACTGCTGATCATTCCGGCTATCGGAGAAAGCTGCCCGGCCTAGCCTTGCATTTATCCAAAGGGGCAAAGGAGGGACCCTTTTTGGGGAATATAATGGGTACATAATAGCTACATTAAGGGTATATGCCTAGGGGTCCTTATTAAGGGTCCCTCCTTTACCCTTGGAATTTAGTTTAGGGCGCCATAATGACCACAGTTGAAGCCCAAAAGTTGGAAACCCAATAGCCCCGATTCCGAAGTACAGTACATTACATAGGGAATCCCAGGACTAATTGTGCTTATTCCGGTTTCCAACTTTTGGGGGTTTAGTTTGCCATAGCACAAGCTTTGAAAAGGGTTCTACAAGGGTTACTCAGGGTTACTATAGTGCGGGCCTTATGGCTTTTGTGTTAAGATTTCTATTTTGCGGTCCGAGGCGATACGAGCCTGAAGACATTCCCAACCTTCGGTATGTCTTGGGTCCAGTATGTGCCCAAGCACAGTGTGCAATGCCCAAGGGATTTTTCTTTGCGCCTACAGGGCAGAACATGCATCAACGTTCTACGTGGATTCTGTTTACCCCGTGTCAAGAGCCCTATAAAAGTTCAAATGAAGCTGTTCGGACGCGGGATTCGGAGTTGGAGGTTTAGTGTTTCTTTAAGAAGTTAAGCTGTTAATGACATAATGGACTGCGACCAATGACCAATGGGGTATCACAATGACCGTTTACGGCCGCCGTCGAGGATTACGTGTTCAGACCTCGTTTGAAGAATTCTTTGCATGGAGTTGCTCAAGCTTGTGGTGGTGGTTTAGGGTGCAGGGTTTCCGGTTTGGGATTTTGGGCTTGGGGTTTGGAAGTCCCCCACACTGCCGTGTGAACTACGAGTGCCTTCCATTTCAGGGAACCCCAAACCTCCCTTTTTGAGGGATTTTGAGGGGTTGCATCGTCAAAGCCCAGTATATGAGCCACAACGAGAGGGTGTCAGGTTCCCTCGGCGGTAAACGACGGCTTTTGGCAAGATTTGCTCTTGAAGCCGAAACACTCGGTCACAAAGCGTGTCGCCTTAGGCACAGCCGGAATGATGCCCTGCACACAAAGCAAAAAGACGCCGAGCTTTGGTGGTCTGAGTTGTTTGGGCTTAGGTTTCAAGCTGTTGCATGTAAACTTCGTCGTTTGCGCTTTCCGTCAGGAGCGGCCAAAGGACACCTCAACGAAGGGATCAGAGCACAGTTTTGATAAAGCCTCAATAGTATTGATATTGAACCCTAGAACTCAGATCTAAGTATCCTTATGCACAACACCTCTAAACCCTAACGCCGTAACTCCAAAGCCCCTTAAAGCTGAACAGCCAATACCGTAAAACCCTGAGCTCTAAACCCTGATAAGCCCAGGCTTTCTATCCGAAGCCGGGTTCGAGAAACTCCTTGTGGTGCGGGGCCTGCGACTTCTGAGACTGGTAAGAGCCTTGAAGATCAAAATGCAGGCTTTTACGGTATATGTTTTGAGGCGGGTTTTTAGTGTTTAGGCTTCAGGGTTTATGTTGGGCTGAGGGAAAAGATATCAACAAGATTTTCCCATCTCGTCACCTATACACTCATACTGCTATAACATTGTTACATACCTCTAAGATAAAGTACCTAGCGGCTCATACACTACCCGTTTTTTAGGGTACCGAGTATTATGCTTAGATTCTGTTTTCCAGAAAGTAGCTAGGGCCCCTACAGGCCTTGAACCCAAGTATGAAGGTTTACCTAGCTACTTGGAGGTTCAGGGGTAGTTATAAGTGGAGTTATAAGTCAACTAATAGCTTATAGGTTGTACATACAGTTATCGTACTTATAACCCTCCCATGCACCTCCAAGTAGTGAAGGCCACACCGCCAGAATCCTACTCCAGCTACTTGCCCCTCCAAACTCTTATAGTAACCCTTGAGCTTCAACCGTTGAGGAAGCCTTGCAAGCAGACGCCCTTGAACTAACCCTGCTGGACCCCCCTTCCAGGACTAAAGGATTCTGCTTCCAATCACTCATCCTCATGGTGAGGCTGCAGGTGTAGATTTCCTTAACGTTTAGGGTTTAGATTTCCAGCTTTGCAGATTAGGGTTCCAAGGTTTAAGGGTTGAGGTTTCGGGTTTAGGGCTGAACGTCTACACTCTCGGCCGTCAAAACCCACCAAGAGCTCTAAGCCGTCAGCAGCACAAACAGCACGTTCAGCCTTGAGTTGAATCCCAACCGTTCTGAGCCCTCAAGACCGGAGCCTCAAGCCGCGAATTGACCCGAAACCCTATTCTGGTTAAGGGTTTAGGGTTGCTAAAGCTCTGAAAGCTTGAACTTTGAACCAGAGATTGGGTTTAGGGTTTAGGATTCAGTGGGTTTAGGGGAACCCTACTTGGAGGTTCCCGGGTAGTTTTACGTGTTGTTGTAGATCCTCCAATATAGCCTATAACTATAGTTATCTTACTTTATCAACCCTTCCTATAAGTAACCATGAAGCTCCAAAAGTACAATTTAAAACAGGCGTCTTCCTTTAAGTTGCCGGTCGATTCTCAGGAGCCTTGCGAATGGTGAGCCATTTCAAAGTCATGTGGCGGCTGGTGCACAGCGCTTTGGCTAATATACCGGCCGGAACAATGACCAACACTGTTTTCGGGGTTCCTTAGTATAGGTATTTTGTATAAGATACCACAAAACAATAACCTGATTAGCTACGCCCTTATAGTACCGGAGATTATTGACAGACCGGCATGGAGTTCTACTGTTGATGATATAAATCCTGCATGACCTTAAGGACCCTAAACTATGGGAATTATGGTATATTCCTTATTATGAGTAATGCAGGATTTGTACCATCAACCGTAGGACTAGGACATACAGAACACATGCAATTACCCGCACTGACCGACCCACCTACTGCTATCTACCTGCGCTACCTACCTTAACCTACCAAACCCTTCCTTTTCGTAGGGTCCCTATATATTCCATATTAGGGTTCATAATAAGAACCTACAAAAAAGTAGGGTTTGGTAGGCTAAGGTACCTACTGATCTAATTACCTACCTTGAGGCTTACGAGAAGACATACATTCGAAGGAGAGCCTTCATCGAACACTCGACCCTGAGCCCCCGTTTAAAGCCCTCGTTGGCCTGGGTAGGATCTTGGGTTTTGGGTTTAAGGTGAGGGTTTCTGGGTGAGCATCTTGTGTTCTCAGCCGGCTCTTCACCCGACCCCACCTCTTGAACTTTCAGCTTTTTGTTGAAAGCTCCGGAAGCCCTAGCACTTGAGGTACCTGCGATCCCCAACCCTGCGCTTTGACCCGTTTACTATAGGGCATACCAGCAAAAAATCGCAGGTCGGGGAGTTCCGAAGTCGTTCTTCCTTTGGAGTCCTTAATGGAACTGTAGTATAACGTTACCCCCCGCAGGTCCTCGTTCCCGGTAAGGCGCAGCAAGGGAACCCTTAAGGAACCCTAAACCCTAAACCCGAACCTTTAAGGAACCATTAAGGAACCTATACCTGTAAGGCCCTTTAAAGGAACCCCTGAAAGTTCATTTAAGGGCTTCCTTTAAAGGATCTATAGGATTTAGGGTTTTTGGGGGGTTCATGGTTTAAGGGGTTCGTTTAAGGGATCTTTAAGGTTTGCCATAAAGGAACCTATTCTAATGATGAAGCTCCTTCATCTCAACTATATTGGTTTGTTAACCTCATAGGGATCCTTAGGGGTGTAGGGGGAGGGGGGGTAGGGGGCCTTAAGGCCCATAATAAGGACTAATAAGGCCTATTTAAGGAAATATAGTCCCCTACACCCCTCCCCCCTACACCCCTAAGGATCCCTATGAATATATGTTTTGTAACCCGACAACAGCCGAGGCTTGCTCACAGCTGGACAGACCATGATGTCAACGGCGTTTTTGATCATGTGCCTTTGCCTGGTTCGGTTTAGGGTTTAGGGTTTAGGGATGCTCGTTTGGGGTTTTCTGGTTGGGGTTCAGGGGTTGGAGTGAGGTCCATATCTAGTGAGAATATCAGTGTGTAGTCCTTATATATGCACATGGTATACATATGCATCCATTTGTACATATGCATGACAACATCCCGAGACCCTGATCGAACTATTGCGCCTCTGAAAGCCATGGTGTCGAAGGACCACATGGTTGAAGCCTAAGCCCCTCTGAAGCCAATGCCCTACAGGACACCATCCCATGGCTACGGAGCATTATACATAGATACATACGAAGATAGATAGACAAGCAAATCCAGAAACAAATAAACATGTATATATATATATACATATTTTATGGGTAGTTCTCACAATCAGGGCCCCTTTCTGGGTACCCGAAATATTAGGTGCTGCATTTTATTAGGGACCCAAAACAGGCCTGTGTGTATATATTAGCGTTTGGAGTTTGAGGAAGACCCTAAATTCCAAGGGTAACAGGAGGGACCCTTAATAAGGACCCCTAGGTATACACCCTTAATATAGCTATTATATACTCACTATATAGCTCATTTTAAGCTAGGGGTCCCCAGTAAGGGTCCGTCCTTTTCATCTTTGATAAATCTTTCAACTCCAAACTAGCCCCCCTTCTCAAAGAAAAGCAATGGGATGTTCAACGAACAAGAGCAGCGAAGCGATTCTTTCTAAGGGCCCAAAGACTTAAGGTATGCCACAGGTATGCCTATTACTATTTCTCAGAAACCTCTCCAGATCCCCCCCCCCGAGAAAAAAGTTACCCTAAAGTCTAGGCCTGCAAGCCCTAAGCCCTGAACCCTAAGCCCCCAAAAGGTTGGCGTTACCCTAAACCCTAAACCTGAAACCCCTAAACCCTAAACCCTAAGTAACGCACTCTGCAGATCGAAAAGGAGCCCTAGAAAAAAAAAGGTTGGCTCTCTTCATCTTTGGCTGTGTGGCCGTGGAGCTGATAACTCACGATGCAGACCTGAACTCCATCGAGGACTGAGTTTTATGGTTTAGGGTTTCGGGTTTTGGGTTTAAGGATCTAGGGTTTAGGGGTTAGGGTTTAGGGCTTCAGATTTGGGTAATTTGCCATACTTTTCCAAAGACCTCGTGTTTAGGGCCCTAGGTCCCTTAAGGACCCAATAATAAGGTCCCTGGAGGCATTGGGACAAGGGCATACGGTTGATGATACAAAGCCTGCACTACCCATAATAAGGAATATCCCATAATTCCCATTGTTTCGGGTCCATAAGGTACAGTAGAAGCCAGAAAGTTGGAACATGGCTTTAGGAGGGTTAGTGCTAGGATCCCTTATACTTTACCTTAAGGGCATGAGGAGTCTGATGTTCCAACTTTCTGGCTTCTACTATAATGCAGAATTTATACCAACAACAGTATGTACCTTAACCCCACGTAACCTACCTTTTTAAGGACTTATATAAAGAAATCATATTAGGGAACCCTAAAAAGGTAGGTTCCTTAGGGTCCAGGTATGCTATGGTTTAGGATTTAGATCTTAGGAGCCTGAAAGGGTTTAGGAGCCTTAAAGGGTTTAGGAGGAGGGGTGTAGGGTGTTTTTGGTGCCTAAATAAATTACCTATACGTTTTTGGGTTTCCCTATCATACCGAAGGTAGAATATATACCTCAAGACCCTATTCTAGATATAAAGGCCCCTGGGCTATACTGTGGGAGTTGTGTCTGGGGCTTAGCTCTCTTCGGGTTCTGTTTGGGCGGGGTGGTGAAGTTGGGATGGGAAATTACGGGGATAGTGGTTTGAAGCTGTAAGTGCGATCGCTTCGGGTATATTGTTTCGGGTTTTACAGAAAGACTACAGGGTCGGCATGGCATTCGCACTCTGGTGCGGAGGCGCCTCAGACTTTGCACCTGGCAATCCGCGTCCTTCCCCAGAGACTCTATCCCCAAGGTCCTTAACATCATGTTGTAAACCCTGAACCCTACACCCTAGAATAACTATCCTGCACAACATGACCATTGCCTCTTTCCAACTGTGGGACTTGTGGTAGAAAGTCCTCATAATGGATGATACATAATATATACAGACTTTGTTCATCAGCAGTAGTCGGGATCCTTGTGTAGCGTTTCTGGTGTTCTGCCAAAGAAGGCTTTAATTGGACGGATTTGGGCGGTTTAGGGTCCGGGGTTTCAGGCTTAATTAGGGGCTGAGTTTTTGGGTTTGAGGTGCAGGGTTTGGGGTGAGGGTTTTCTGCCACTCATTGGTTTCGGGCACTACACAGCCCTTGAGGTTGTTGTTGCCATATTCAGTTGGAGTTGAAATTCTCCAGCCCTACTGAGAAGGCCCACGGCACGTTAATCAGGCAGTTTCCGGCCCAGTCGAAAGTGCCTGTCGTGTCATTGTACAGCCGCTGAATGATGCGGACAATCTTTGGAAGTACTATTCTGAATTCTTTACCCAGCCTGTTTCGGGTTGGTTGAATGCTTGTTGTAATCGTCGTGATCAGGTTTCAGTATCGTTGTCTTCATCGAGAGTTAACCTAAACTCGCCCGGTGTGACTTGTTTGGTTGCTCTCCTTGTTGCTGTGCGTTGCCATAGCTTTCAAACCACTTTCGATGAAGACTGGAACGTAATTCCGTTCGCACTAGCCCTATATTGGTTCATCGAGCCGAGTTCTGTTGCGGTAAATAGCCCAGGGTTACAGAGACGAACTCGAATGACTCTAACGGAATAGGTTTTCATGTTCCCAGAGAGCCCAATACCCCTTAATTAAGGAATATAGCTTAAATCATAATATGAAGCCCTATATATTTCAAGCCATGTTCCTTAATTAAGGGTATTGGGCTCTCTGGGTTTGGGCCCATGATGCCTCTCTGCCTCGCAGGATACGCAACAGATCATCCTACAGCACTTCCCCAACTTGTTCACATCCATCTTGACATTGCTTCAGCTCCTGTGCAAGGATTCGAGAACCTCCAAATGCTAACCCTAAACCCTCAATCCTAAGAGCCCGGAAGCTTAAACCCTAATTATACCGTAAGCCCTGAACTCTGAGCTCTAAACCCAAACCAAGGAAGGCCTACACTAAACCCTAAACCCTAAACCAAGGAAGGCCTAAAAGAGATAGCACAGAGTCCCTGGAGCCCCAGATCGCTGTGCCCTTGAGCCCTAAGTTGAAACTACCAAAACCTTCTGTGTTGCAGGGTCCACATAGATTCCCTGGACCCTAAGGAACCTACCTTTTTAGGGTTCCCTAATATGATTTCTTTATATAAGTCCTTAAAAAGGTAGGTTACGTGGGGTTAAGGTCTAGATTAGGATTCAGACAGTTCGAAGCTTCTGGTTTTAGGTTCGAAGTCTTTTTGCTAAATAGGCTCCAACACAGATCCCCTAGAACTCCCAGTCCAGAATCCAGAACCCTAAGGGTCCATGTACCCATATAGAGATACATGGGCCCGAAGTACACAAATAGGGATTACATTACGGCCAATGTATATACTATATGAGTACATGGATCCTTAGGGGAAGCAGATCTGAAAAGCTTGAGCCTTTCACCGTAAACCCGTCAGTTTCAACCCCAAGGGTTTATGGATTCGGTTCCTCAGGCTTGAGGCTTTGGGCGTGTCGACCCCCAAACCCTAAAGCCTAGGCCCCAGAACCCTACGCCGTAAACTCTAAACCCCTACACTTTAAATCCAAGCTCTTGAACCCTAAAACCTTAAATCCCTAGGCCGTAAACCCTAACGTCACCGACCTGAAAACGGAAATCTTGGCAACTTTGCTAGTCGCATCAGTAGTTCTGTAAATTAGGCCCCTTTTCGGGTCCTGTCTATAAGGGTGATCTACTATTTTGGGGACCTAAGGGGGGACCCTCTTTTCGAGGACTACTCACATATGAGTTAGGATCCACGCCAGGTTTCGGGGTTCACATTAACTTGAAACCCAGCGAAAGCTTAGTTTTTGGGGCTCCTTGCGATGCATTCCTGACGTACGTCCATCAAAGGGTAATGGAGTTTAGGGTTGAAGACGTAAACCCTAAACCCTAATCCCTCAAACCCTAAACCCTTAATTAAACCCGAAACCCTAAAACCCTAAACCCCAAATAAACCCGAAACCCTAAACCTAAAACTTAAACCCTAAACAACCTGGGGGTTTAGGAGGTAGGGTTTACTCTACGGGATCAGAAGTTCCTAGACTGAACCCTAATCTTAAAAGCCCTACTTAAAGGGTCATGGCACTTAGTAACTAGGGTTATAACTAGGGTAGCTATACTTATAATTACTTTTAGCCCCAATTAAGGTACTTATAACTCTACTTACTAAGTCCCACGATCCTTTAAGTACACCCCCAGACTGACTTAGGTTTTTGGTTCTTGGGTTTAGGGTTTAACGAACATGGTTTAAGTTGCCAAAAAGAGGATCTATGTCTACCGGTTGGTATGTCTACCGGTTGACATGGCAACTGCAACTAGGTCCTCCACAAGAGTCCAGGTTTGTGACCCTGGACTCTATCGCGGCTGTGTACTATCCTCTGGTCGTGCACAAACCTTGGCTGAGACTGGTCAGAGAGGTTTGTTAGGGTTTTGATCGTGTCTGTTCAGGCCTCTTCTGGGTCGGTATATCATTGCGTAGAGCGGTATACCCTAAACCCGGAAACCGCCAAACCCTACACCCTGCACCCCTGCGCGTTTTTTCCGTGTGAGTGTTTAACTTCGGGGTTGTAGAGTCTGGGGCTGCAAGCACGACTCAAATCCTTAGATTGGGATGCTGAGTCATGCTATCCTACAGCTTCATGCGACCTTCAGACAAGTTTCCAATCTTCTCATGTATACAGGTGCCGTCTTGCCACATCGAGAACCCTGACCCTTGCGACTGAAATCCAAACAAGCAAATACACGGAAACCTACCCCCCTGAAGAGGGATACTGCCCTATGCAACATGAGGTGCTTTTCGGCTTCAATGTCAACTACCCCCCAAGTTCCTGCCTGCCTGAAAGCAGGGCTTTAGGTTTTAGGGTTTCGGGTTTGAGATTTATTGCTCAGTCATTCAGGGTTCATATGTTGGGTTGTGAATTCATGCTAAGCCCTAAAAGCCCTAAACCCTGGGGGCTTCAGTTGTGCTCATTGAGGGCGCATGAATTGCGATTTAGGGCTCAGGGCTGGGAGACGTAGAGGCCGAAAGTTCAAGGGGGCTCATCGTGTGGGTTGGCCTGTTGGGTTTGTGCCGAAGCTGTAGACCCTGAAGCAGACATCCCCATGCTGGTCGTGGCGTAAGGTTAACGGGCATAATTATGAGGTCTAGGGGTTCCTACAAAGGAGTTTTGGGTGTAAGGCTTGGGATTTCTAGCTTGTTTAAGTTTAAGTGCAAAGGTTCCTAGTAGTAGAGTAGGTGACCTTTAACCTTTTTTGGGTAGTATAGTCTCTATCTTATCCCTGTACAACCAAAAGGGTTAACCTTTAGTTCCCCATGATACTCGACAAGTAGGGGTTGGTGTTTCGAGACCTTGAGAGCTTTATGTTCACCTGCAAAATGGTCGGGAAGGAGCACATCCGAAGTAAGTAATTTAAGTGCTTTAACAATTACCTATAGCATTTTGGGGGTTCCTTATTATAGTTATAAGTATGGTCTACTGGGTCCCCAAACCCTATTCAAATTACTAAGGCACCTGTAGTAGCGATGAAACGAATCGCCGAGGATTGTGTACTTTGCTCTCATTATGCTGATTGTCTCCATTGGCCTCATGAACCTTGCAACTAACTTGCAAGAGGCAGAGGAGGTAGCTTAAGTCTTTTGGAAGGTATGTGGTCTTGCAAAATCACCGTCCGATTCGGGGCTCATAGATATACGGTATTGAGGCCGTGTGATTGAAGAAGCCTCCCATACATACACATCCTAGGCCGATCGCAGCACCCAAACCGTAAACCCCAAGCGTCTTGATACCGAAGAAAGACCTCACGAACCGACCCTCAAGGTAACAGGTTTAACTGTTGCGGTTTAGGGCTTTCGGGTCTACCTGGACCCTCAAAAACCTACTTGTTTATGGTTCCTTACGACTTATTCCCTGAAAGGGTGGGTTATTTGGGGTTAATGTGGGGTTTAGGGTAAGAGGCCTGGGTCCGAAATCCTAGGTTTGGATTACGGCGGAGGGATGTATCTAGAGCTTGGATTGTACCTATGGTCTCCATCGCGTCTTTGGGGTCACCTAAAAGATCCTACCTACAAAACTGGATACGTTAAAAACGGAAATACAGTGGATACTACAGGTAATTCGATTTTGCCGATATCTTATTTCATGGTTAAGAGTCCTGGAACAAGCGAGCTATATGGAAGCCAAAACTACTCAACCACCTTGGAGGGTCTAGGTTGGGTACGGCCCCCACTCAGTAATAGTTGAATACTATTCATAATATAGACGATATGTTGGGACCTTAATAGTAGTAGCCTTCTTATAGACTCTTACTGTATGGGGGCAGTACCGAAGGTCTAGGTAAAGTCGGAACCTTGAACCACTTGGCCGGTGGTAAGATTGGCAAGTCGATTCCAAAGGTTGGCAGCCTGAATACTTGGAGGTTCATGGGTAGTCATAAGTAGGGTTATAAGTAGGGTAACTATAGATATAACCCATATTAGGGGACTTATAACCCCACTTATTACATGAACCTCCAAGTAGGATCCCCCGTAGTACCCTTATACCCTTTTTGTAGTCCTAGGTTCCTTATAAAGTTACCCCATACCAGAAAGGGAGCCCTTTTCATTCCTAGGTTACTGGGCATCCTAGCTGAGGTCCCTAGACCCTAAACCCCAAACCCTGAGGTAACGGCCGTGCTCGTTGAAAACGCCTTGGAGAATGCTGCGCTGGAAGCAGATGCAGAGCGCTTGAACTTAAAGCACAAGATCAAGGCCATTAGGGTTTAGGGTTTAGGCAGCGATTGAACCTGGGTTGTCCTTTGGGATCTTTTTTAGGGGGGTATAGCTTAATACTTACTTCACTTTTTTGGGGGCTCCTTGTTATACTATAGTAAATTATAACTGGGTTGTCCTTTGGGATCTTTTTTGTTCAATTCCATCGTCATGTGTCAGGGTTTTGGGCTCTGGGGTGTGGTTTTCAAGGGTTTCGGGTGTAGGGTGTAGGCTTTAGGATTTATATAGGGTTTAGGGTTTACTGGCTTCGAGACAAAGCTACGGTTTGAGGTTCTTCGTTTTTGTTTCAACGGTCATCGTAGTAGCTCGTGGAGGGTGCTTTTTCATCGAAGTGCCACGCAGATCGAGCTTCTAGAAGTTGCCGATGAAGCTCCATGATTCTTCATGATAGTGGAAGCACGGATTCTCCAGTGAGCCATCTTGATAATCATGTCACCTTAGCCGAGTGCTCGCATGAGCCGGCGCGACATCTGCGCCTTGCACCTTCGGCATCGTGTCCTAAAACCGGGACACCCTGAACCCGAAATCCTACATGCTGAATCCTCTAATCTGTGAGCCCTAAACCCTTGCATAAATCCCAAACCCTGACTGCAGGTCCGTCATGTTCATGACAGACTCTTCTTGAACTTCTTGTTAAGGGCTCAGACCCATGAAACCCTAAACTCCTGTCTTGACCCCGGTTCAGGGTTTTTGGGTTTAGGGTTTAGGGCTTTGGGTCTTGACCCCCCAGCAAAAATAGGATTCCCTGTTTCAAGGAACTATCTGAGAAAGTCAGAACTACAAGCCCTAAACGTCTGGTAGGTTTCTTAGGGCGGTTATACAAAACCCTAGACTTCTAAACCCTAAACCCGAAGCCCCAGGGCTGTACAACGCTTGGGAATTCAACCCTCAGCCCTCCCCGCCCAGGCATGGAGCGCGTTCAAACTCTGTAGAAAGCTTGGAGGGTTTAGGATTTAGGGGTTTAGGGTTTAGAGTTCAGGATTTCGGATCTGCGCAGAAGCCGTGTAAGACCCTTGGGCAGGACGCTTTGCCGACTCTCCTCGAGACCTTCGAAGATCTAGATGAAGATGGTAGCACCCTGTATGAAGTACAGGGGTCGGAGGAACTCATGACAATGATCCTGTATGGGAGTTTCTGAACTTAGGGGATCCAAATATAGTGTCCTGAATAGTAGGATCCTTATTATAGGTACCCCAAAATAGGGTACCCCTAATTTTTGGAAACTCCCGTATAGTCCCGTCCCCACATATTCATAACCCCACTTACTGTTAATAAGCCCCTTAAACCCTGCAAGACTTTGGGTCTCAGGCCTCTTTTGAGGGATGTGTCTTGGAAACGCAGAAGAGGCCTTACAATCCTTAAAAGGATGGTTTGGGGTTCCCATACTTGGAGGTTCATGGGCAGCTATAAACAGGGTTTATAAGCAGGATAGCGAATAACCAAAGTTCTAGCCTTGTTTAGGATACTAAAGTAATATCCCCAGTTGCTAAGTCCCATGATCCTCCAAGTACCACCGTCAGCTCAAAGCACCCCTTCGGAGTGGCTGAGGTGGATTCATCTCTCGAGATGAGATCGAAGGTGTGCCCGTCACTGTGATACCAGGCTGTTCAGTGGTACGCATTTTTTCTTTCAGGTTTCGGTGTTCCTATTATGAAGTAAGAAGCTTCAAAAGTATATACTTTTCCCAGTGGGTGACTGAACAGCCTAGGATACCGCCAAAGCTCTTGGAGAACGTCTCCATCGACGCTTGGGTTAACTTAGTCTCCCAGTGGGCCCTGTTTCACTTTTTGTAGCCTTTTCCCAACAAACCCTAAAACCCTAAACCCTAAAACCCTAAACCCTAAAACCCTAAACCCCAAAACCCTAAACCCTAAGCCGTTAGGGTTCCCAAAAACAACTCCTCAAGAGCCCTTTTTTATTCCTGGGGTCCGTAGGGATCCTAGTTGAGGATTTGCGGTTTAGGGTTTAGGGGGGTTTAGGTTTAGGGTTTAGGGGGGTTTAGGGTTTAGGGTCCGTCTCCATCGACGCTTCCGTGTCTACAGGGATCGAAAAGGCGTCCTGTGAGATGTTGACGGATATAAAGGGTCTATGTAAGTCCTCATACGGTGTAAGAACTTCGGAGAATTCGGAGCAGTTCTTTTGGAGGGCGCTTGTACAATTAGCATCCTACGTTTCAGCATCTGATGGAAAGGCTTGGGGCAAGTGGAGCTCCCTACACCGCATCCCTGAACACAGAAAGCCTGAATGCTTGTACCCTTTTCCAGACAGAGCTTGGGGCCTAAGGTGCTGTAGGGCCTCTATGTAAGCTCTTAACCTATAAGCCCTGGCAGAAGGAGGTTTAGAGCTACTGAAGCACAGCGAAGCTCCGCAATCTCGCAGGCGATTGCATGCTGCCGTTTTTAACCCGGGTGAAGGGATTAGGATTAAAGCTTGACCCTGAACCCTAAACCCCAAACCCTAAACCCTAACCCTTGTTCATGGCTATGGTCGCAAAACCGTGCTTGGCTAAGATCCGGCTTCAGGGTTTAGAGGTTTAAGGGTTTAGGGATCCTGCAAAGCAAGATAATGTAACCATAGATGGAGCGACAATGGGGACTGTAGGCATACCCGCCCTAAACCCTAAACCACAGGAGCTAAATTGGGTGGTTGTCAAAATTAAGGTCCTTTTTGGGGGCCCTATTATAGTACGGCACCTATTTTTTTCAGGGTACCCCAAAAAGAGACCCTACGGTTGATGATATAAATCCTGCATTACCCATAATAAGGAATATACCATAATTCCCATAGTTTAGGGTCCTTAAGGTAGTGCAGGATTTATATCATCAACCGTAGTTTTGCCAACCACCCACATGAGGACAGCATGGTGGACCTCTTCGAACTCCTGGATGTGGATGGTGGCTTACTTAGTGAACGGGGGAACTTTCAACTTTTTGGGTCTTATGTATTAGCTCTATCTTAGAAAGTTTAAAACTTTTTGGTCTTATATATTAGCTCTATCTTAGAAAGTTTGAAACTTTTTGGGGCCCGGCTGTTGAAGAAGAGAGGTGGAGGTCAGCTGACGCAGCATGAGTTCGTCGAGGGCCTATTGCAACTGAGCCTGCGAACAGGAACGTTTTTGGTCTCGACCTAAAATGGGAGATTCCGAAAATAGGGGACCCAAATAGAGCACCCTAAATTGTAGGATCCTTATTCTAAGGATCCCAAAATAAGGTGCCCCCTAATTTGCGGAAACTCCCAAATCTAGCGTCCCGTTTACCCTCTAAAGAGGAGAAACTATCGAGATCGACGGTTTGGGGTTTGGGGTGTAGGTAGGGAGGGGGCGGTTTCCGTTTTCCCTAAGGGTCCAAGGGACCGTGCAATGAGGGCATTTGTAGGATAGTAGTCTTAAACTCTCAAAAGTTAGACCAATGTAGTAATCGGCAAACATGATGATTAGGTGCTTGGATTCTAAGGGTATGTTGTAGCTGTTTTAATATATTTGAGCCAGCCACAAAGCGGCTGTTGGACTACAGCGCAACCAACATCCAAATAGAGGGCACCGTAGCCTTTGTATGATATAGGCATAGGCAAGGAGAGTTTCAAGCTTTGGTTCCTCTGACCCGAGGTTCATGGGTAGTTATATTAGGGCTCATAAGTAGGATAACTATAGTTCATAGCTTATATTGGAGGGTTCATAAACCCTGCCTACTTCTAACTAGGCATGAACTTCCAAGTAGCCCCAACTTCAGAGCATCTGGTTGTCTGTGCAGAAGGAATTAGGCCCACAACCTCGGGAGCTTTGACTCCTCAGGGGTTACACTCTTTAGGGTTTAGGGTTTAAGGTTTAGGGTTTAGGGTTTAGGGTCTACCGCACAAGCCCCAACAGAACCCCAGAAAAAGATCAACCGCACTCTCGAAACTAGGAATGTTGTGTCGCGGTGCGTTCCCATACCCCAACCCTGAAATCGGAGCTCCTTTAAGAAATGCAAAGAGCACCCATTGTTCACCCTAGCGGGTCACCGTCTACCCCACATCCTAAACCCGAAACCCCCAAGCTAAGCCGCTTACAACTAAGGAACAAGTGCACCGTTTAGCCCCTATATAATTGTAATACGCCCTACCCTTATTCTAATCATGAGGGCCACTATTTCCAGGCTGTTCAGTGGTACACTTTTTTACTTTCAGGTTTCTGGGTTCCTACTATAAAATAAGAAGCCTAAAACAAGTATATACTCTTTCCCAGTGGGTTACTGAACAGCCTAGACTTCAGTCCAAGGAATCTGGTGCTCTTGGACGTTCCCATCTCCACCATCCAGTCCTTGCGCCTACTACGGTCCATCAAGTTCATCTCCTCTCAGCTCAGCGAGGTGCGCTTGGCTACTTAAAGGATCATGGGACTTAGTAAGTATGGTTGGCTATACGTGCCTTAATTGGGGCTATAAGTAATTATAAGTGTAGCTAGTGATAACCCCAGTACCAAGTCCCCTGGTCCTCCAAGTAGAGGGCTTCAATATAGGGGCCTTAGAAATTTGAATCGGGGTTTCATCGGGGTATACTATGCTCCCTAAAAACCTTAGGCAAAAGGGGGCCTTGAGGACTTTGCGTTAAGGAGCTAGTTTTAGGAATTACGGTTGCGGGTCTGGGGTCTGGGGCTGTGGCCTCTTGAACGATTTAGGCAAGGGTTAAGGGATTCGGATTTTTTGTCGGTAAGGTTTCGCATGGTCTGACTCTACAAGGCTTTCGATTGCTTAGGGTTGAGGGTTTGGTTCAGGATTTCCCCGCCAAAACTGAAAGAATCCTGCACCTCGCAGAAACACCAAAACTCAGAACCTACAGACCATGAGTGGTGGCGGTTGCTATCGGACCGTCCGCGAGCCCAAGTTTGCGTTGGCCCGCACCCCCCTGCAGCTGAGGGTTCCAAGACGCCCTGCAACAAAGGAAGCCCTCACCCCAAGAGTCGAAACGTGCCCTTAAATCATTTGCAGTGTCCGTTTCACAGGACCGTTATGGAACCCTCAGCAAGACACCTTTCAAAATTACCTAAACGACTAAACGGCAGGATGTGAAGCAGCTCAACGCGACGCTCCTGGAGAACATGGGACACCCTGTACACTGTTGACTGGTACCTCGCCTTCGGGTTTGGGGGTTCAAGGTCCAGGCTTTTAGGGTTCAGGGTTTCGGGTTCAGGGCCTAGGGTTTTGAGTTTAGGGGTTTAGGGTCCAGGCTTTTAGGGGTTTTACCTGGGGATCTAAAAACCTGTCACAACCTGCTCCCTATAAACCCTAAACCTTCTGCTGTTGTAAGGTTTAGGGCTTCCTGCAGGGTTTTCGTCGCTTTTGGTATTTCGCTCCGACGGTTCGGAAGGCGTTTAAAGGATTTCTGGGATAGTGACCCTGAGCCCTCCCTGCCCAGAGAGCCCAATACCCCTTAATTGATATATACATATACATATATATATATATAATATGGCTTAAATCAAACTGTGAAGCCCTATATAGTTTAAGCAAATTCCTGAATTAAGGGGTATTGGGCTCTCTGGGTGGAGTCTAGACCCCAAAACCCTCAACCTTCAAGCATTTCTAGGACACTGGGTTCCCCTGGTTTCTCCAGCCCACGACCCGAAACCGTCCATCTCAAACCCCACAAGCCTCCCGAAGCCCAAAAAAAAAATTAAAACCCGAATCAAACGGGAGCTTCCGAAAATTAGGGGGGTAGCTTATTTGGGGGTCCTTATAATAAGGATCCTGCTATTTAGGGTACTATATTTGGGCCCCCGATTTTCGGAAACTCCCAAATTCTAAACTTAGGGTTTCGGGTTATTTCCTAGGTTCAGGGATTTGGGCTATGGAGTTTAGGCTAGCAGTTTACGGCTTCATGGGAATATACCCTGAACTTTGGAGTGTCTTTTTATGACTAAAGACAGGGCTCTTTAAGGTATGCATAAGGGTTTTACATGAAGAGTTCTGTCAGGGTTCTGCAGGGTGTAGGGTTTTGATATTACATGGGTGGTTGTCTAAATCAGGGTCCCTTTTTGGGAACCCCAAATATTAGGTGCCATATATTATAATAAGAACCAAGAAAGGGACCCTACTATTGACAACCACCCACATGATTAGGTAGCCTTTAAGTCAAGGGTTCATAAGACCGAAGCTTCTGCACCACAGCTCAGTATTTAGGGTTATGCGGTATGGCCTTTATAGGGCCTGGTTCTCTAGGGTTTAGGGTTTAGGGGTGATTGTAGGGCCTGGGTTCTTTAGGGTTTAGGGGTGATTGTAGGGCCTGGGTTCTTTAGGGTTTAGGGGTGATTGTAGGGCCTGGGTTTTGTAGGGTTTAGGGTTTAGGGGTGATTGTAGGGCCTAGGGTTCCAGATGTGGGTCACTGGGCTTTATCAAGAGGCTTCGCCGGCTCGAACCTGTCAGTGTGCATGTGTCTTCCTCAAGCGCAGAAGACTCACAACAATAGCTGACTGGCTGTTAACTACCATATTGCAGCCACTACTTGGAGTTAGTGCTGAAGAGTCCAAGAAGCTGCTTCTGAGTATTTCTGCCCCCGCATTAAGACCCAAAGCCGTAAAGGCGAGTCAAACCGGAATTTCACAACATCCTCGGGGCAGGCTGTACGACTTTGGCGCGCTGCGTCGGTAGCTGAACCCGTTTTGCCGTGCCCTCTCAGCAAATAGGAGCTTTCGAAAATTAGGGACCTGAATATAGTACCCAAGATAGTAGGACCCCAAAATAAGGTACCCCTTGTTTTCGGAAACTCCCAAAATAGCCGCCTCTCGGGGCACATCTAAGCGAGCATTTGCGTGTTGAGAGGTTTTTTTGCCTAAGCCGTCGACCTAGCTGTAGTAGCAGTAGTAGTAGCAGTAGTGGCAGTGGTCGAGAGTCGTAGAGTGGTAGTAGCGCAAGAGGAGCAGTAGTAGTCGTCTGGAAGGAGTAAGAGTGGCACCACGACAACGACGACGTTGACAGGCAATTGCGACCACTGCTGCTGCTGCTGCTGCTGCTGCTGCTGCACCTGCTACAGCTACTGCTACTCCTTTGCTGCTGTGGTTTGTGCAACTACTACTGCAATGGCTCTTTCCATTGATACCTGTACTCAAATCGTCGCCGCTCCCAGACTTTGCTAGAGGATGCAGGCCATCCAATGGCGACAGGCCTGCCTGCACATCTCCCTGTTTGAACATCCGAACGGATGATGTCACGAGAGATAGTGGAGCTGGCCCGATGTCTCGCGGTGATTGCGCAGGTTGGCCAATACCCAGGAATCCACCATGAGGATAGGAAATTTACACTGCAACATCCGAGATGGAGACGCAGTCCCCGAGAAGCGGTATACCTATGACAAACCATGTTGTCAAGACTTGGATAATTGCAGGAACCGCAGTAATCACAATACTCAAGAAAAAACCAGTAATATGAACTGAAGGCGAAGTTGGGAGGTACGGGGTTTATGCTCTTTGGTCTTTACTTACCCATCTCGCTTGCACGGCCCATGAGGATGGGGATTCGGCTCGGCCCTGTATCGAGTATATACTTGCAGTCGTCGTAGTGCCGCGAGACTGACTTGCGGAGCTTGGAAAGTGTGGGCTTTGTCGCTTACCCGTGCCAAAGGATGCATGTAGGTGGTGCTCTAAATTAAGGTCCGTTTTGGGTCCCCGAGATAGTACGGTTGCCTTATAAAAAGACGAACTACCCATGTAAACGTTTTCCCCAAGATAGTACGGTACCCTTATCTTAGTAGCTGAGTGGATGCACTGTACACTTTGTGGGACAATATTACCCACTTTGAAACTAAAAGTGTACACTTTGGGGGGGGCTTAAGAACTCAGCAACTAAGTTTGTGAACGAGACGAGATACCCATGTACAGTTTGCCTGTAGGCCTGTACATTTTGTCAGCCTGAAGCCGACGCCCTGGTTGTGAGGTCGGAATAATCAAATGCAATGTCCCTTTTATAGTCCGTATATATCTATATACATACAGACACATACATACATATTTATATATGTATATATGTACATAATATATATATATATATATATATATATGTATATATATATGTATATGTATATACACACACATATATTTTTATGCATATACATAGATCACAATATACACATTAGACTTATTCTTCAAAACAAACGTACATGTAGACATACACATATACAAACATGTATTTGTCCAGTTTTTCCTATATTACATGCCCCACAACCCTGCTCTAGTTGTTCGGGCTCCGAGACTACACCGTTGGGTTCAGGACCTCTACTGTTTGGAGTCGTTGGGTTCCTAACACGCATCCATGCCTCAAGAGTCCTATGTGGCGTTTGGTCTCCTGTCCCCTCTAGTTTGCCTTGCAACGCATGAACCCTTAAACGAAAACTAGCTCTTAAACAGAAACCTGGAACGCCAGACCCACAATCAAGCCCATATCCTAAACCCGAGATGGACCGCCACACCCACAATTCCGGAAATTACTTTGGCACTGGGCTTCGGGGCGGGTATGTTGGACAGCCTCAGAGACGACTGCGCGCCAGCAGTCGGATAAAAATGCGTGCGTTGCACAGCCTGAGAGCCGTAATTCTGCAAGGGCGGCTTTTAAAAGGTTCGGGAATCTACAGTAAGGGCTGGATAAGATAAGGGTTTTGGGGCTTTAGAATTTAATCCTACGGCATCTGTCAAGAGGCTCCTCTGGCATGTGAAAAACTACCTGACTCAACAGTCAGTAAAAACCAATATAATTCCTTGGGGTTCCTGTATACATAGTATAACATACCCCAGATCCCTTTTCTCATTATTGAGGCCCCTATAGTAAACCTCCCAAACCCTAAACCCTAAACCCTGTTGGGAACGTTTTTGTTCGGTAATATCCCGAAGCCCTTCCATACCCCGCTTTGAGGTACCGGAACATTCCTTTCTGTCGGGCTTCATTTAATTTCTGTATCTTCTGGTTTAGAATTTTGCAGGGATCCCACGGAAATCTAGGTTATGATCGTTAAAGATACAGGCCCCATAAGCCTCAGCCTCAAAATTCCTCTCCATTCCACTCCGCACCCGCGAGGCGGGTCCTTGGTCTGCGCGCTGACAACGATCCGCAACACAGCTTGATAGCCTTCGCCGAGGGTTTTAGGGTTATGTAGGGGTTTTGAATCACTAGTAACAAAATCGTTCAGGACACATGTCAGGGCCATATCAAGACTCTGAGTCGTAAAACGGTTTGGAATCGGCATGAATACCATGCCGATAAACCAGACCTTCCAAAATCTCTTAATTGAGAAATATGCCTTAAATTTTAATATGAGCACTGTTATGATTTAAGGAAGTTTCCTTAAATCAAGGATTTTGGAAGGTCTGGGACCCCAGGATATTGAAATCCAAGCAATCCTGGACTTGAGGAAGCCTGTGCTTGAAGGGCTCCAAAAATAGAAATCACAGTCAAGTACAGCTGGGTAGAAGTACACAGATTTCCGAATGGGAAGTTCGATATATTTCAATATGAAGTGAATCTAAATTGGCAACGCGGATTTTGGCATATTTTTGTCATTGGTTTTTCCAATTATCGAATTTGATATATATCCGCTAGATAATTTGAAAAATGGTGCCTGACGAAAGATCGACTTATGATTTATGATTTTTT